CTAATTTTAATTTCGTCATGTAAAAAATTAATAGGAGGGGTGGGGGGCTGGGGCTGGGGTCCAAAAATCGTTCACTAAGATGGACTCTACTACCATCAATCAACAGAAGAAAATAATAAAAGCCATTAATATTTAAAGTGTAAAAGCATTTAATAAAGTCATAGTATACTTTTTCAACTTAGAAAACCAGCTCATGTGGGAAGAACAATCTGTAAACTTTAAAAGTAATGATAAAATTAAATAAGTTTTGTTTTATCATAATATAGAAATTGATAATAAACCTGATTTCGGGAGTCCTACAAGTTTCCAACTACTGTTAATCAGGTTAAATTTTTACGCATATTTTAAGCTCATGAAAACCCTGAAACGTTATGATAATAGCCCTGAGTTTCATCAAAGTAGTAAAGTACTTGCAGGTGACATGACATGACAAATTGTTTGTTGGCGAATACAAACAAAACTGTAATATTCATGAAAACAGACTAAAATTGAAATTTTTTTATCGAAATATTGTAAACAGTGTTTTTCCAAAAATCAACTAAAAACAAAAAAGTCATATTTTCGGCCATTTAGGCCGGTAAATCTTCTGTAATTAGTCGGTGAAGCTGTTATCCGTCGTCAGTAAATTAGACTCCCCCGGATTAAGTAATGGTTTGCGGCATTCATTCTTTCAACTCTTTCAACCAATGAACATTTCATTCTCATTTTTAACCAATGAGAGAGCTGTATACACTCCAGCAGACTAAACAGGGTTTATACTCTTCGCAAAAAAATGTTAAGTTTTGTTCAATAAAATAAACTGAAAATCTTCAAATAATTTTTAAGATTTAGAAAAAAACTTTTTTTTTTGTAAAACTTTTTATCCCGAAAGAAAGAGCTAGTTGTTTAGACCAATTGGAAGCAGTTGACGAAGTGTCAAAAAATTACAACTTTTCAGTCTGTATTTTGAGGACTGCACTGTAAAGAAGACTAAAGGTTTGATATCTTTTATTACGGTCTAAATACCTTTTTATATTAGTGTTATGTTAGCATTTTTAGAGTAAGAAAGAAAATGGTTTGCGAATTTATTTTCAGAAAATGATAATGCCTGGCACCGCTATTGAAGGAGGTGGAGGGAGCAGAGATTCATCTGAATTCGAATTCATTTCAAAGGTTACAAATTTTTTAAAGATGCTTGTTTTAAGGACCCTCCCCCCCGTTTTCCGGTTTAACGAAAAATGTTTATCAATCTTAAAAGAATTGACTCAAACTATGATTGAGTACATTTTTTTTAGAGGCCAGGGGTTAATAGTTTAAAACAATTCACATCTATTTGTAGGGAAACGCTGTTTCGGGGTTTTTGGACGAGACCATACCCACGCCCACCGTCTCCTTTCCCTCCCCCTCCCACCTCCAGCCACACACCGTTAACTTCCAATCCAACCCTATCATGGAGACCAAGCCTCTAAGGTATATACAGGATTACCTTTAGAAGATGACACTGCAGAGACTACTAGAAACTCTTAAAATCTGACGATTTGACGATCCCAAATTTAAATTAGTGTTAGTTCCGTAGAGTCGTCTCGGAAGTCTCATCCTTTGTGGGTAACCCTGTAGTAACCCTGCCACCCCAACCTGCCATCTTTCATCTTTATTATTGATATTTAATATTTTCTACATAATTTATTATTTACTTCAATGATTTTAAATATTTTTCGATTGCCTTTCTAAGGGTTTAAATATTTCTTTGTTTTGTACACGGTAGAAATTCCAAATTCATTGATTTTTAAATTTTTCGAAGAAGAATTGAGGTCTTTGAGTGGCATTAGAACTGAACTATTTCATATTTAACTAGATATTCTATCTGATTTATTTTTATTAGAAAACAATACGGAAATAGGGGAAGGTTAGTGAAAAGAAAAAAAATATTGCACTTTTTTGGAGTTTTAAGCACTTTTTACACACACCCTGTAGTACCCCCTGTANCAGGCGCCAAACCTCCTCCAGGCAAAATACAGAAGGAAGAAACAGGTTATTTTATTTTTACAGAACTTCTTGTGTTCATCTACTCCGTGGATCCGCATATTTTTGCGGATCCGGACCCAGAAAACCAGAATGTTGCGGATCCAATGGGTTCGGAATTTGGATCATGAGAATTGGTTTAACTATCTCAGTATAGGGATCCTAAGAATTGGTTTACTTTCTCAGTATCCGGATCCTAAGAATTGGTTTAACTATCTCAGTATCCGGATCCTAAGAATTGGTTTAACTATCTCAGTATCCGGATCCTAAGTATTGGTTTAACAATCTCGGTATCCGGATCCTAAGAATTGGTTCAACTATCTCAGTATCTAGATCCAAGTGGCAAAAATAAAAACAAAGAACTTTTGAGAAATTTTTCGTTTTTTATTAATGTTTTTTATTGGATTGGGAAACTTTACTGCAGTAAACGAAGTAAGGCATGCTTGAATTGAATGTTTAAGCATGCTGGTTTGAATATTCGACTTTTTAATTTTTTAGGTTCAGGAAATCTTCCATTATCTACATCTCAACAATCATTAAAGGTTTTATTTTTTACACTTATAATTCTAATTCATTGTATTGAATAATATACATTTTGTAGGTAGGGTATATACTATATAAATATAATTTTAAGCATTAAAGATGCAGATAAAAATAGATTAAAGCAGATAAAGCAGATTAAAGTAGAATACACCAGCTATAACAGATTAGCGCAGATTTAAGCAGATAAAAACAGATTTAGCACAGAATTAAACAGATCAAAACAGAGTTATTATAATTATTCAGGGTAAGGCAATTGTTGTTACAGCAGAACAGCCCAGCGCTCCAGGTAAAACTTTTCATTTTTTTGGAACTATATGTACTAGAAAACCATACAGAATGATTATTTGACGGTAGTTTACTGAAATTACATAAAAGATGCTTTGTGGGAAAACGATTTTTTTATGGACTGATCTTAGCTTTTCAATCCTTCTTCTCTATCGGTCATAACAATATTAAAACATACGGCTTGGTTTGATATATCATCATGTCTAAATATATCATTATGGTTTTATATATCATCATGGTTTGATATATCATCATGGTTTGATATATCATCATGGTTTTATATATCATCATGGTTGGATTTATCATCATGGTTGGATTATCATCATGGTTTGATATATCATCATGGTTTGATATATCATCATGGTTTGATATATCATGTCTAAATATATCATTATGGTTTGAAATATCATCATGGTTTTATATGTCATCATGGTTGGATTTATCATCATGGTTGGATAATCATCATGGTTGGATTCATCATCATGGTTTGATATATCATTATGTCTAAATATATCATTATGGTTTGATATATCATCATGATTTGATATATCATATGGTTTGATATATCATCATGTCTAAATATATCATTATGGTTTGAAATATCATCATGGTTTTATATATCATCATGGTTGGATTTATCATCATGGTTGGATTATCATCATGGTTGGATTTATCATCATGGTTTGATATATCATTATGTCTAAATATATCATTATGGTTTGATATATCATCATGGTTTGGTATATCATCATGGTTTGATATATCATCATGTCTAAATATATCATTATGGTTTTATATATCATCATGGTTTGATATATCATCATGGTTTGAAATATCATCATGGTTTGATATATCATCATGTCTAAATATANAATTCTACTTTTGTACTGGAGCCAAATCATCATAGTTTAAATATCATCATGGTTTGACATATCATCATGGTTTGAAATATCATAATGGTTTAATATATCATCATGGTTTGATATATTGTCATGGTTTGATATATTGTCATGGTTTGATATATTGTCATGGTTTGATATATTGTCATGGTTTGACATATCATCATGGTTGATGTATTATCATGGTTTGATGTATTATTATGGTTTGATATATCATCATGGTTTATGATTCTCTCTAAGGAATGTTTGGCTGGGTCCGTGGAGGAGGGTTGTTGTCCCGTGTTGTGGAGAAGACAATCTCCGTCACGGAGAACGTGATCACCACCCTGGACCCACAGATGCGGGACTTTATACATTCAGGAGGAGATGTTCAGGTCAGACAAAATTGTCGACTATAGAGGGAAATAGATGGGAAATTTAAGGCGTTTAACCATTTGACTTTGTGTTTTAATACATCAATGGGTATTTTGTATTTGTAAGTAGATTTATTGTGAATATGTAAGTTACTGGCAACGTATTGCGAATGTATTACGAAATTGTAGACAAATTGGGAATATGTATCTAAATAAATTGGGATGTATAGAAAAAAATAGGAAGATGTTAAGATTTAGTTTGAATTTGTATTGTGAATATGTAGTTTGTAGATAATATTATTATAAAGATTTATTCACACACAAAGATATAAATACATATATAAATGGTGTAGTTTAAATAAATTTTTGAAAATACCGGTTTCCAACACAAAAGAGAAAAATATGCAAAATTATGCAAATAGACAACATTGATTAATACTCATTACATAACATATTTATCAATTCAGTTATTACGTAATCATCGAATATATTGGGGATTATGTAGATGTATTGGTAATATGTAAATGTATCGGGAATATGTAGTTGAATTTGGGATATGTAGATAAGTAGATAAGTTTGGAATATGTTTGAATCTTCATGACAGAAACAGATCACAAGAACTGAAGAGGGTTAACCCAAACCCAAATATATTCTCAAAAAATGTGGAACTAACTCCTATTTTTTTGTTTATATGTGTAAGTTGGGAATATGTAGATGTATTTTACATGGAATATGTAGGTGTATTTTGCATGGAATATGTAGATGTATTTCAATTTGAATATTTATATGTATTTCAATTGGAATATGTAGATGTATTGGGAATATGTCCATTTATTGGGAATATGTAGATGTATTTGGAATATCTACATGTATTGGGAATATGTAGATGTATTGAGTAAATATTTAGATGTATTGGATTCGGGAATATCCACATGTATTGGGACTTTCTACTTGTATTGGTATTTGGGAATATCTACAGGTATTGGGAATATGTACATGTATATAATGTAAATTATGTTTTTATAGATAGTTGTAGCTTCTGACAAGGATGAAAAGGTTGGAGCAATCAGAGAAGCTTTTCAGAATGTTTTTGGACACGCTACAATAGTTGGATTACCTTCCAGGTGCAGCAATCTTTATTTCTTCCGTATAATTGTGAATATCCGCACATATTATTGTATACTAGCTTGGCAATCCAGCGGTTGCCCAGGTTACTCATTGTTACTCCCGCCTTTTACCTGCACTTGGTCGTAAATTGCGATTTTATCTATTTTTTCCGATAAAGGCCGACCCATTCAAATCTCAAAACCAAGCTAAGAACATTTCCTTGGCTCTCCCGAGTTTCCCAATCAAAATTTGAGGCAAATCGGTTCAGGTGTTCCTAAGTTATGATTGGACAAACCTAAACAAACAGACAGACAGACAAGCAGCTAGGTAGATCGCAGCTAGGTAGATCGCAGCTAGGTAGATCGCAGCTAGGTAGATAGCAGCTAGGTAGCTAGCAGATAGATAGTTAGCAGATAGGTAGTTAGCAGATAGGTAGTAAGCAGATAGGCAGTTGGCAGATAGGTAGTAGGCAGATAGGTAGTAGGCAGATAGATAGTTAGCAGATAGGTAGTTAGCAGATAGGTAGTTAGCAGATAGGTAGTTAGTAGATAGGTAGTTAGCAGATAGGTAGCTAGAATCCTAGAATGTATGTAGCTAAAGCTTCTATAAGATGGTAGATAAGAATCTGATAAGAATTGGAAATATAATTATATTTAAACGGTAAATCTACAGAAACTTAACAGTACAGTTCATAAAAATGTTTTAGTAAATTAGTTAGATAATTAGCATATATGATTTGTATCTGAATCTGCTCAACCTTGAAGAGTAACAAGTGATGGAATAATGAATGAATTTTAATTATTTAAAGAATACTGTATCTCTTCTCAAGAAGGTTCAGAAAAGATAATGATCTCCCCTGAACAACTAAATCTAATATATTTAAAACTTGGAAACCCTGTCGAACTAGGAACATTCCCAGTATTGCAGTATTCTAGGCTTCCAGGCAAAGAGAGATTGTATACCTTACAATATACTAGCTTGGGAACCCAGCTTTGCTTGAATGTTTCTCTTTAAAAGTCTTCTTACTTAACTTAGAACGTTTAAACAAAGCTAGGAACATTTTCGTGGCTCTACTGAGTTCCCGGATCAAAATTTTAGGTAAATCGGTCAAGGGGTTCATGATGTATGACTGGGCATTCACATAGACAGAAAACCACAGATTAAAACTAAGTACAGGGTTACCCACAAAGGATGAGACTTCAGAGACGATTGTTGGGAACTTGTTTAATTCATTTCCCTGCATTCAAGGTTCTTTGTAGGCAAAGTTATTTGGTTAACAATCAGAGTGAGTTCATGAAATCAAATTCAAATGGTCATATTTTTAAAGTTTTGGGTCGTCTTTATAGTCTCATCCTTTGTGAGTAACCCTGTGGCATATATATTCAATATTAATAGATTATTACTAAGATATTACTTTAGGAAGTGTGGCAGTGTTCAGAAGGATACAGTCGTAGTCTCAGGTGAATTATTTTCAAATTGAATCCAATTTTTGTCCTGTCTCTAACGTCTCATTACAATCTATACCAGATAGAAGAAAAATGTAAATTATGTGATTTATACTCTCTACTTGTTTACTTGCATAGCTCTGAAAACCACCCAGGTTTTAAAATAATTAAGATTTCAATTTTCCTTATTTCAAATACAATTGAGTTTCAATGCGAGTTTTTTTTGTTTTAAGTGTTGAAACGAGGTTATAAAATGAAATTCACAGATTTAGACGATCTCTCTTAGACTAAAATTCTGGATTACATTATAGATTAAGTTTAACTCGTTGCGTCCATTTAAAAGTTCCCATCTAAGATCTTTGTTGTGAAAATAAAATATAATTTGTTTTATTTATTAATTTATTTGTTTAGTTGAGAACTTTCTGTATGAAGCAAGTGAAAATCTCTGGTTGGATTTCAGTTGTTTAGTTTTGTCAGGTAGGTTCTAGGTTCTCTTCAGTTGTTTAGTTTTGTCAGGTAGGTTCTAGGTTCTCCTTCAGTAGTTTAGTTTTGTCAGGTAGGTTCCAGGTTCTCTTCAGTTGTTTAGTTTTGTCAGGTAGGTTCTAGGTTCTCCTTCAGTAGTTTAGTTTTGTCAGGTAGGATCTAGGTTCTCTTCAGTTGTTTAGTTTTGTCAGGTAGGTTCTAGGTTCTCTTCAGTTGTTTAGTTTTGTCAGGTAGGTTCTAGGTTCTTTTCATTTGTTTAGCTTTGTCAGGTAGGTTCTAGGTTCTCTTCAGTTGTTTAGTTTTGTCAGGTAAGTTCTAGTTTCTTTTCAGTTGCTTAGTTTTGTCAGGTAGATTCTAGGTTCTCCTTCAGTAGTTTAGTTTTGTCAGGTAGGTTCTAGGTTCTTTTCAGTTGTTCAGTTTTGTCAGTTAGATTCTAGGTTCTCTTCAGCTGTTTAGTTTTGTCAGGTAGTTTCTAGGTTCTTTTCAGTTGTTCAGTTTTGTCAGGTAGGATCTAGGTTCTCTTCAGTTGCTTAGTTTTGTCATGTAGGTTCTAGGTTCACTTTAGTTGCTTAGTTTTGTCAGGTAGGCTCTAGGTTCACTTCATTTGCTTAGTTTTGTCAGTTAGGTTCTAGGTTCTCTTCAGTTGTTTAGTTTTGTCAGGTAGGTTCTAGGTTCTCTTCAGTTGGTTAGTTTTGTCAGGTAGGTTCTAGGTTCTCTTCAGTTGTTTAGTTTTGTCAGGTAGGTTCCAGGTTCTCTTCAGTTGCTTAGTTTTGTCAGGTAGGTTCTAGGTTCTCTTCAGTTGTTTAGTTTTGTCAGGTAGGTTCTAGGTTCTCTTCAGTTGTTTTAAAAACATTTGTTTTAGCGCAAAACACTATCTATTAAACTTTTAATNAGTGGTTTAGTTTTGTCAGGTAGGTTCTAGGTTCTCTTCAGTTGTTTTAAAAACATTTGTTTTAGCGCAAAACACAATATCTATTAAACTTTTAATATTTTTTTTTTTGACATTCGAATTGAATTTAAATTAAAAGAATGGGAAAATGTAAATTTTATTTTCAGACCCTCTCCGTAAAATCCAACTGCAGTCGTATTCCCAACCCACCAATGTAACTCCAGAACAGGAAATTCAGATAAATTAACTTTAAAAACAGTTTAATTGAGTTTCTTGTTATAGTAAAGTTAGTTCAAAACTTATTAATACAAGTTATTCTTAAGTTCGTATTTTTTATTTGATTATGATTTACATTTCGTCAATTCCTCAACAACTTAACACTTAAACTTAACTGTTTAATTTATTCTGAATTTTCTATCTCAGATTCAAATATTAAAAGATTCCACGCCTTCAGACTATCCGAAGCAGTGGAGTGGGTTTGCAGTACCTATAGGTAATTTTATTTTACATTGTCTTCTAACTAGATTAATATAAATCAAAAAGGGTCGTTCCATTTTAAGCGTCAAATGTTAGCTTTTCGGGGAAAAAATGGGGTTTTTGAGGAAAAGCAAGAAATGTGGGGGGGGGGGGGGTCTTTCTAATTGTTTGCATACAAGGAATACAAGTTTATTGATAAGTTGAAACCATTATTTTGATGATATTCAGATGTTGTCTGCACTGAAAGGTTGCGAAAGCATAAGTTTGATCAGTTACAAGGTAGCAGGGATACAGCGTAAATTTGTACACGAGGGGTACAGTGTACAGTGTACAGTCTACACATGTACGCATGGTTATAGTTCACATGTGAGCGCAGGGATGTGTTGGAAATTAAAATACGGTTATGGTGTACATATGGTGTAAAATTGTACACAAGGATAAAGAGTAGAGTACACTCATAATAAAGTTTGTACAATAATGTGCAATGTGGAACCTTTAAAGTTTTAATATAAGATCACAAAAAAACATCAATGTACATACATGGAGGTGTACAAGTATGTCCAATGTAAAAATTATAAATTTTAAAGTTTCAATATAGGATCACAAAAAAATATCAATGTACATACCTGAACATTGCAAAATTTACAATGTACATGCATGGACAATGTGCAATGTACATACATTTTACTATGTACACTGTACACAGGGTCATTTCAATGTATAGAGTCATAATTCAATGTAATGGCTTGATTTGTGGTAAACTTAATGGTTTCTTCGTTAACCCCAAGTTTGTGTTTCACTAATTAAGGATTTTAATTTGTAAGAAGGAACATTTTTGGGATTTTACGGGTTAACTTGTTTTTTTTTAATATTAAATCAGTAAATCCACGAAAACCCCAAGCTTTTACAGGTAGGATTAAAACATGTTTAAGAAATGTGTGCAAGGTATGTACAGCATTTACGTGTTTTGATTGATAATACTGGTAAGCCTGTAAACGTCCCCCTCTTGGGGGAAATAAAGTAAGTAAATGCTTATTCGCCTGATTTACGTATACTAAAACTTTGTGCATAAAATTGGAAGATTTTAGAAAACACTAACATTTAATAAATTAAAGGGAATTTTAATTATCTCAAGATTTTTTGTTTATAAAATTTTTATTTTATTTTTGCAGGTGGCGTAATGGCGAAGGAACTTCAGGTAAAAATTGATTTTATTTTACAAAGTGACTCTCTGAGTAAAAATCTTAGTTTTTTTACTGATTTTTCTCTTCGTTTTGAGGGGCTGAGGCTTCGAGAAAAATGACAATTCCCCGCTANAACCTACACCGAGAATCCGAATTTTATGAATTTTATTATTATATTTTCAATTGCATGACAATGTTTTAAATATTATTTAAATTATTTCCGTTTTTTCTAGTTCTCTAGTTCTCTAGTTTTCTAGTTTTCTAGTTTTCTAGTTTTCTAGTTTTCTAGTTTTCTGGTTTTCTGGTTCTCTACCAAAACCTGAAAAACTAAAAATAAACTTAAAATACAAGTCTCAACTGTAATTTAATAAGAGATTATTAAAAACTTCCAAAACCTCTAAATGAGTGATCATATTTCAGCATAAAAATAATAAATTTTGAAGAAGTGTACCCGACCTGGATCCGGATCCGGGTCCATTTTTTCACGGCGGATTTAGGATCCGGATCTGCATTAGCGCTGAATTACTAACAAACAAACCTCTCCAACAGATGAGCTAAATAGGGATGTGGTGTAAAGTTTTGGAAACAATTCAAATTTTTTCATTTAAAGTGCGGTTTTAGACCAATCTATGGCCTTTTTGTGTGAAAAATCTATATTCCCCTGAATCATGTTATTTAAACGACCTCTGAAACAAAATTTAAATGTGAAACAATAATTAATTTAAGTTGTATTTTTGTCAGGTTTCTCCTGAATTATGGCAAGAGGCCGTCAGCGGTATTTCCAGGTTAGTTTTTTTTCCAAGGTTTTATTTGTAAAATATCATTTAATATCACGTATCTTGTACGACAGAACTATTTTAAAAGATTTGTTGGGCATGTTATTTAAGGCAGTTCATATTAATGTGAATTTTTTATTGTAGATTATTTTTATGCAATATCATGCAGTGTGGCCAAAATGAGCGGATTGTACGGATTTTTTATTTTGTAACCCTAAAATTGTACGGAAATTGTTGACAAGCTTTTTCGATTTACGAGTTTTATATAAGTTAGTAATCAAAGGAAATCTTTTTATTTGACAGCTTCTCTTGATTTCTATGTTTATGTGTATCCATGCAAAATTTAAATCGAAAGCCGTCTTCATTGTATTGATATAATCGCCTAACATTGTACATTGCAGGGAACTAGCTGTGTTGTGAGAACTTATTTTCTTAACTAAAGAATTATATCTTAATTTTTGAATTACCAATGAATTTCTCCTCCCTGAGTCGAGATCTGAAGAGAAGCCGAAACCCGCTAGTTTAGCAGTAGGACCAGATATAAATATTTGATCAGACTTTATATCCCTGAACAAAACCTTATATTTTAAGACTGTCTAGATATATCTATAGCCTATACAATACAGCTCTCCGATCATACATATAGATTCAGTGAAAACGCAACAATCTTCTTATAACATATTTTGTTCATAAACATAATGTTTCATGCTTTCTGCAATCTTCTTCAATTGTTTTAGCTTACATTACCCCCCAGTAGAGATGTCAACGATAGTGTAACGTAAAGGTTTTCAGGTTGCAAAGATAAATGGATTTTAAAATTGATTTTAAGTTGAGTTTCTTCAGTTGATCTTATTTTTTCATCATTCTCATCCAAGCATTCAAATACCTACAGTAGTTTTTACTTCCAGGAATATAGGTGGTTAGAGGGTACATCATTGGTTGCTGAGGGAAGGGTTGAATAATATTTTCAAAAATGGTTTTATTTTTCTTAAATGTACGGATTGGAGGGATTTTTTTCGAAAATTGAACCGATTGTACGGATTTTTTTTTTTAAATGTACGGATTTTTTCGAAAAAATGTACGGATTGTACGGATTTTTTTTTCGAAAATTGTACGGATTGTTCGGATTTTTTTTCGAAAATTGTACGGATTGTACGGATTTCTTCTGAAAATGTACGGATTTTTGTACAGAATTTTTAAAAAAAGTTTTGGCCACCTGAATATGCAATAGATATTGAAAAGTCAACAATTTTGGGTCCCCGCGCATTTTACTTTGAATTTTTCTCAAATTTTATTCTAAAGTCTTGCAACAATATGTTAGTAAAGATTGTCATAATATCAGGATTAACACGTCCTTAAATATTTTAAATAAAAAATGTTTCAAGAGTTAATTTTTAATCCTCCATCTTGCTCATAAAATTCTGCCGATTGTATTACTTTAACAGAGTGAAAAAGGTTTCAATAGAGTACTATTCAATACAGTACTCATAGTTAGTCTTGCCATTTACCCGCGCTTGGTCTTAAATACGATTTTAGCTATTTTTCCCATTAAAATTTTATCCACTCAATTTCGAATCTTAAAACCAATCTTGGAATGCTCCACTGGTTCTCCCCGAGTTCCCCAATCAAAATTTGAGGCAAATTGATCCAGGAGCTCCTGAGTTATAATCGATACAAGCAAACAGAGATTACTACTTTATAAATCTAGATTAGAGAAGAACAGGAACTCTAAATTTTAAGAACTTTATCACTTTAAAGTTTTTTGGAGTAAAAAGTCATGCTTCGGATCACCTGTATGTTTTTCATTTTATTGATTTATTGATTATTTAGAAGACGACTGCTTACCCTGGCTGGAGAAGGGTTGGCGGGAATGTACAAGCGTGAAATAAAGCTCAAGGTAATTAAAAATAAATAGATTTCAATCCATTTTCAAGCCAAACCTTTGGAACAAATAAAATTTCTCTGTTTTAATAGTAGAATGTAAGATGGCGTACTTTAATCAAACAAAATTTAAAGGATGTAAAAATTCATTTCATATTTTTTGTTGGGGACATTTTAACCTACTTTTTAAATCTGATTTTTTTCAGGTGGAAGTCATTTAGGGTTGTACAATGTACGGTGTTTGCTGCAATATCAAGAACATATCTTATATTCATTTCAAATATTTCAGAACATTTGGATTTCATTCATTAGTTTCATTGGAATATAACATCAGAAGTGTCAAAGCTGTTCTATTGATATTTTATATAAAACAGCAGCTGTACCAGAATTACTGCTTAAAATTTTTAAACTAACCAGTTGATTTCACAGCTGTAATAAAAAATATAACAGCTTATGGCACAGAATCAGTATCATTTATATTGAAAATTATTTCATTGTGATAATTTATATAAATTTTGAACCTACACCGAGAATCCGAATTTTATGAATTTTATTATTATATTTTCAATTGCATGACAATGTTTTAAATATTATTTAAATTATTTCCGTTTTTAATTTGTTTTGTGGCGAGTTCCAGTATTACTTTAAGTGAGATATTTACAGATTAAAATATATTTATTTTTAGAAAAATTCTCAATTGTTTAGATTACAACAATGCAGTGATTATTGACATTAGATCTCCTCTTGAATTTCTAATTTTTTACTAAAATTGCGTATTTTTTTGCAATATGTTTTCTTTTCCTTACGTGTAGAGATGGGCAATAGCTAGATTCGTTTTACAGAAACGATCGTATTTCGGTTCGTTTTTGCCTTGTATTTTCTTTAGAGCAAATTTGAATTTTTAATTAAAGCAAATTTCCACAGAAAAAAAAGTTTTAAAGTGTTAGAACCTTCTCATATTGTCGTAAACCCTTTTAAACGTCTTAAACATTAATAGTTTCTGTAAAACGAATCTGGCTATTGTCCATCCCTCCTTACGAGCTATTTATAATGAGCTATTTGCATCAAAATCAAGAAACGCTTTAAAAAAAATTTTAACTTTAGAAATAATGATGTCATACAACATTAAACAATTTTATAAACCGCATCCTATTCACACAAAAACAAAAATTGACAAATAATTTATTTTTAAATTTTTAAGAAAGATTTTACCCTTGAAACATAATACTGGTAGCAAAAATGGATTTTTTGCCTATTTTTCCCATTTCCTTTCTTTCACTTTTAATTTTTTCATTATAATCTTTTTCGTCTCCGACAATGTTTACAAATAATTTACTGAATTAAATTTGTGATAAAAATGGTGAACTAACTTGAAAACTTCCATTGGAATGCAAGGTTTGATTCTTATGAAACTTGTTGCAGTTTTATAGTGAATAGACATGTTTACCACGTTTTTTAGACTTTACAAGACCAAAGATATTTACACTGTACAGGGTACAGGGTGTCCCACATAATATTGGATCGTACACAGCTCTCGATGGACATTTTTTCAACCAAAGAGAAAATTTACAACCATCGGAACATTTCAAACAAATGTTTAAAGCTAGTAAAAATAGATTAAACGCAAAAATGCAAGGTTCTTTATGTATTCCGTAAGTATTTTGGCTACAAATAATTTAGTATGTATTATATATGATCTAAAGTAAAAAACTATATCTTATTTATATATGACTAGGTCCTCGGTAAAGTCTAATGTAACCTTGCAGAATTTAAAAGCAAATCAGGAAAAACGAGAGATATTATTTATTTTTAACAAATAGCATATTTAAACATTTACACAAAATCTACTTTGAAAATTTTTTTAGTTTCAACTAAAGTTTTGGTTATAGACGTAAAAACTCTTAAATCTGAGAAAGGATACGTTATAGTAAGTAAATTGTGAGAAAGGTTAGTCAAGTCGGAATTTTTAGGCAAATTTTAAGTAAGGCTGGGTTCAGAAAAAAATGTTCCAGAAGTCGAAAAATAGATTTGGTTCAGGAAATAACGAGCCAGAAGTCTAAAGAAAGATTTGATTCAGGAATAAACGTGCCAGAAGTCTAAAGAAGGATTTGGTTAAGGAAATAATGTTTCAGAAGTCTAAAAAAGGTTTGATTCAGGAAAGAACGTTCCAGAAATCTAAAGAAAGGTTTGGTTTAGGTAAGAACGTGCCAGAAGTCTACTGTGATTGTTTAAGGAAAAAATGTTTCAGAAGTCTAAAGAAAGATTTGGATGAAAGAATGTTCCAAAAGTCTTAAAAAAGGTTTGGTCTAGGAAAAAATAAGTCTAAAGAAATATTTGGTTCAGGAAAGAATGTGCCAGAAGTCTAAAGAAGTATTTGGTTAAGGAAATAATGGTCCAGAAGTCTAAAGAAAGGGTTGGTTTAGGTAAGAACGTGCCAGAAGTCTAAAGAAGTGTTTGTTTCAGGAAATAACGAGCCAGAAGTCTAAAGAAAGATTTGGTTGAAAAAATGTTCCAGAAGTCTTAAAAAAGGTTTGGTTTAGGTAAGAACGTGCCAGAAGTCTAAATAAGTGTTTGTTTCAGGAAATAACGAGCCAGAAGTCTTAAGAAAGATTTGGTTGACCAGAAGTCTTAAAAAAGGTTTGGTTCAGGAAAAAATAAGCCTAAAGAAAGATTTAGTTCAGGAAAGAATGTGCCAGAAGTCTGAAGAAGGATTTGGTAAAGGAAATAATGTTCCAGAAATCTTAAAAAAGGTTTGGTTCAGAAAAAAACGTTCCAGAAGTCAAAAGAAATGTTTGGTTAAGGAAAGAATGTTCCAGAAGTCTAAAAGAAGGTTTGGTTCAAGAAAGAATGTTTCTGAAGTCTAAAGGAAGGTTTGGTTCAAGACAGAATGTTTCTTAAGTCTAGAGGAAGGTTTGGTTCAGGAAAGAATGTTCCAGAAGTTCTTCAGCTGTTGATCTTTTCTCCGGATCCACCTCAAGCATACACTGAAAATATAAAGGTTTCAAACAAAAAATCAAATAAATATGTAAATCGGAACGAAACTCTTCTTTGTTTAATCTTTTAATGGTATTATTATTATATTATCTACAATTTTTACCAATTTAAAATAAATTATGATTAAAACTTGGCATCCAAATATACCTCAATAAAATCTGCCAGAGATTTTGAGACTGATTTCACTGGTTTCGGGACTTGACCATCTCTATAGATTAGAATAGAAAATTATTAAAATATAAAACATTTCATCCAGAGGCTAGAAGTTGAAAGGAAAAAGTTTGTATTTAAGTCTTTTCAAAAAGACCTTTGTTTACTTTAGTACAGGGTGTCCCACGAAACATAACAGTAGCAAGACGAATTAAAAGTCGTCTTTGAACTTTGAATTTTTGAATTTATTTACGACATTCAGTTATATTCATGGGACACCCTGTAAATAAACTGTTGTTTAATATAAACAATAATTGATTTTAAACAATTTGTTGTTATCAGAAATGTCCTGAATTTGTCCCATTAACTCCAGAAAGTCTTAAATTTTACTGCAAGTTATCATCGCAAAAGGTTGTTAATTGCGGAAAGTTGTAAATCGTTAATGGCGCACCTCTTTAACAGCTAGTTAAAGACTGTAAACGTGAAAGGGATCCTCCATTGATAAAGTTGCATTGTAGTTATGAATTCCTAGCTTCCCAGCTACGGGTCTGGTGAAATAAACTACAGGATGTTCTGATTATCATGACAGAATTGAAAGATGACTTTAAGATCGCCTTTAATCAATTTTACAAAAAGTGAGACCACCTTTTGTAAAAGCCAGGACTGGGGGAAATTTGTGATAATTGTTGAAAAATCATACATGTAAGAGTGGGTATAAGAATGAGTGCCGCAAATTATTTCAAAGATCAAAGACGATCTTCAAGCTTTCTCTTTTAATTGTCAGGTTTGGTGGAAGACCTATAATATACCTGGTTTTCTTCATCGCAATTAATGGACTCACGTTAAAGTTTGGAGGTTCTCTACACAGTCAAACAAATTGAATAAAATCTCTAATTGGAATCATTAATATTAGACTTTTCATCACAAATTTTCAGCCACCCCCTCATGTCTAAACAAAGAATTTCTTGGGCTTAGGTCTTTCAACCCTCTTGGATCTAAGACTTCTCGTCTTCTATTGTTCTACAGATCTATAATCAAATTAGTGACGTAAACGGTAAAATCTCAGCAATTGACATTTTAACTTTAGTTTCCAGAAGCCGCGATCTAAAAGCAATGGCTCGGGTCGTAATTCCTTAAACCCAGATTAAAAACCCAATCTAAGACTCAACTCTGACGATATCTTTTCCTTTATCAAAGGATCAAAACGAACCATGAATTAAAAAATACCATATATTTCCTTTTTTAAAATAGATAAATAATAGTTGGAATTAATAAGAACGGGGGGGGGGATTTTAAAAATTAAATACCCCTCTGACATATTTGTTCCATTCCTGTCTATCATTTCTATAACTGTTACACCAAGTGACCAAATATCAACCTAAATTATGAAAAAAATGTATGTTTGTAGCAAATTTTGGGTAATGCGATTCTGTAAACCGGCAGTACTGTGTACATTATTAACAATCTATGTTTGGAAACTTGTAAGTAAAAACATTTTTCATTTGAACGTAGCATGATTAGCTTAATAATGTGATATGTAATGACGTACATCTTAATTGCGACTATTTTAACTGTGCTGTAATGCGTAACATGATTGCCTCAATCATGTGATATAGATAACGACGTAGGAATTATAATTGCGTCTTTTCGCTTTAACTTGTGAGATATAAACCTCTAATACATTAGCTGATATAGTAACTCCAACTTGATTGCTGTCGAGAGAGTAATTATGTTAACATTGAAACAGACGAGCTGGCATCGCACCCATTTGTTTGGCGTTAATAGATTATGAGATAGTGTCTGATAGCCACCGATAGCTCATGAGATAATCTCCGTAGTAGAAGAATTTATCTATTAATTGCTAGTGTCTGTGTTGACATTGATAGCTAATAAGATTGTGCCCAGTGGTAGTGGCGTTGAAAAAACAATTGCTAGTGTCCGTGTTGATATTGAAAGCTAAAGAGATGGGCCTAGTGGCAGTGGCGTTGATAGACTAATTGCTAGTGTCTGTATTGACATCATTAGCTAATGAGATCGTGAACAGTGATAGTGTCGTTGATAGCTGAAGAGATCATGCCTATCTGTTAGCTTTCGATAGGTTACAAGATTGTAACCAGGTTTAGACATTTGATAGTTACGGAACGGAATTATACCTGGATAGATACGAGTTCAGAGCAGTTTATAGAGTAGGGTATTTACTACATGTTGTCATTTTTTAACGTCATGTCTACTGTCATATCTGCTGTCATGTCTGCTGTCATATCTGACGTTATGTCTGCTGTCATGTTTACTGTCATATCTGCTGTCATGTCAGTTGTCATGTCTGCTGTCTTGTCTGCTGTCATGTCTGCTGTCATGTTTGATGTCATATCTGCTATCATGTCTACCGTCATGTCAGCTGTCATGTCTAATGTCATGTTTGCTGTCATATCTGCTGTCATGTCCGCCGTCTTGTCTGCTGCAAATTTCTGCTGCACATGTCTGCTGTCATGTTTGATGTCATTTCTGCTGTTATATCTGCCGTCATGTCTGATGTCATGGCTGATGTCATTTCTGATGTCGTGTCAGATGTCGTATCTCTCATGTCGTGTTTTCTGTTATGTCTGCAGTCTTGTCTGGTGTTCTTGTCTGCTGTCATGTCTGCTGTCATATTTGATGTCATATCTGCTATCATGTCTACCGTCATGTCAGCTGTCATGTCTAATGTCATGTTTGGTGTCATATCTGCTGTCATGTCCGCTGTCTTGTCTGCTGCACATGTCTGCTGTCATGTTTGATGTCATTTCTGCTGTTATATCTGCCGTCATGTCTGATGTCATGGCTGATGTCATTTCTGATGTCGTGTCAGATGTCGTATCTCTCATGTCGTGTTTTCTGTTATGTCTGCAGTCTTGTCTGGTGTCATGTCTTATTTCATGTTTGATGTCATGTCTGTTGTCATGTATATGTCCCATCTGCTGTCATGTCATGCTTTCATGCCTGCTGTCATTGTCTAGTCTTGTCTGTTCTCATGTCTTCTGTCACGTCTGCTGTCTCGTCTGCCTTTATATGGGTTGTCATGCTTTTAAAGTACAGTAGTAGGCGATTATATCAATACATTGAAGACGACATTTTTATTTAAGTTTTGATTGTTAAAAAGCTTTTTTCGATTTACAATTGCTTACAAGCTAATAATCAAAGAAAATCTTTTATTAATTAAGAGCTTTTTTGCTTCTCTTGACTTCTATGTTCATATGTGTATTCATGCTGTTTAACAGCTTGATATAAATCAAAATTTAACTCGAATAATTTGATTCTAAAAGTCGTCTTCCTATTCCAAGGTTTTCTGGTTATCACTGTACCAGAGTATCATAAGGGGCTCCTCTCAATATTTCAGGACTCATCCAATATGGAGTCCCAACCTACAGGGAAAAAACAAAATTATTATTTCGAATTAGAAATTAAAATACTAATTTTTTCTCGGATTGATTACCACCGTATCATTCATAATAATATTTTTAGGAAAAAAGTTTTTGGCACAAACTGATATTCTAATCCTGATATCTTTGCAAACCGATGTCGTAGACCTTAGATATTTCAAAACTATAAATTCTGTTAGTTCAAAAAACTTATGTTTTAAATATAAAATGTTTACACCATCAGGTTGCAAAGATGTCGGAATTTACAACCTTTTTATTTTGTAATTTATACTATACATCCCGGAAAATGTCTAAACAAAGAATTTCTTGGGCTTAGGTCTTTCAACCCTCTTGGATCTAAGACTTCTCGTCTTCTATTGTTCTACAGATCTATAATCAAATTAGTGACGTAAACGGTAAAATCTCAGCAATTGACATTTTAACTTTAGTTTCCAGAAGCCGCGATCTAAAAGCAATGGCTCGGGTCGTAATTCCTTAAACCCAGATTAAAAACCCAATCTAAGACTCAACTCTGACGACAGCTTGTGTCACGTGATTGACAGCCTCGAGATCTTCTTAGACTCGACTCAAGAAAATGAAACCTTGCCTCAAACTCTAATAATCAGACATTTGACTTTATATCAAACTAAACTTAGAGCGTTGAAAGTTTCTTCTATCTCAAAAATTTGCCGTAGTAGCGATAATATCAATACAATATAGGCGAAATTTTTATATACGTTTTCATTGTTGACAAGCTTTTTCGATTTACGAGTTTTATATAAGTTAGTAATCAAAGGAAATCTTTTTATTTGACAGCTTCTCTTGATTTCTATGTTTATGTGTATCCATGCAAAATTTAAATCGAAAGCCGTCTTCATTGTATTGATATAATCGCCTAACATTGTACATTGCAGGGAACTAGCTGTGTTGTGAGAACTTATTTTCTTAACTAAAGAATTATATCTTAATTTTTGAATTACCAATNATCCCTGTAATACCTGTGTATACTATGAGAAGGTTATGAAGGAAGTGGAGCGCTGACAGGATATCCCTGTAATACCTGTGTATACTATGAGAAGGTTATGAAGGTAGTGGAGCGCTGACAGGATACCTGTAATACCTGTACACTATGAGAAGGTTATGAAGATAGTGGAGCGCTGACAGGATATCCCCTGTAATACCTGTATATACTATAAGAAGGCTATGCAGGAAGTGGAGCGCTGACAGGATATTCCTGTTATACCTGTGTACTATAAGAAGGCTATGCAGGTAGTGCAGCGCTGACAGGATATCCCGGCAGATGTCAGCAATCTCGCCTTCATGCATGCTTCTCTTCTCAAGAATACCTAGAGAATGTAGGTAGGTATAAAGCATTATTAAACTGGTAAAATAATTTTTAAAAAACCAGGGTCAAGCTATCTTAAAAGTATAAAATACTGTACAGTGAAGATAGATAGATACAATGTAATTTTGGATAAGAACAAGAAAACAAATATAAACATGAAGTGGATTTGATAAAAAACACTATTTTGTGTTAGTTTCTCAATAAATCTAACAGTATAAAAAATGAGCTGATTTAAAAAAAAAAAAACCAACAATGTTTCTGAAAAAAAATAGATTTATATCTTAGGGAAACTTTGTCTCCTCTTGTCCCCTGTATCCCAGTCCCTTGTCCCCTGTCTAACCTGTCTCCCAGTCTTTCTTTGCCCCTGTCCCATGTCTAACCTTTCCCCCTGTCTAACCAGTCCCCCTGTCTAATCTGTCCTCCTATTTAACCTGTCCTCCTGTCTCCCTGTCCAGCCTGTCCCCCTATTTGCTTGTTGCACTGTTCCCCTGGCTAACATGTCTCCCTGTTTAACCTGTCTCTTTGTCTACCTGTCCCCCTGTATAATCTGTCCCCCTTTTCCCCTAGTAACCAGCCCCCCTGTCCTACTGTCTACGTATCTAACCTGTCTAACCTATGCCCCTGTCCCCTATCTAACCTGTCCCCCTGTCCCCCTGTCTAACCTGTGTGGATATTCTAGCATTATCATTATATCTGTATACAAGCACTCTAAACTTGTCTGAAACATATTTATTCTACAGTGAAACCCTTAATAAAGAATACATCGAAAGAATTTATCAAATGTCGTCTTGACAATTTTTCAATGTATTCGATGTATTCTTTATTAAGGGTTTCACTGTATATTTAGAAACACTGCTAAGAATGTTTTTAATCAAGATCACTAAACTCCGATTATATGCCTGTCAGGCTGTCAGATTATCTTTACCTCCAATAGAATGGAAAAATAAACAATAAGAGGAAAATCACAAAAGTGGTTTGTATAATATTTTGGAGGATGATTTCCAGATCAGGATTAGAAAAGAAGACTGGAAGCGCACTGAATTGAAAGTTTTGTTTAAAATCCATGTTTTCAATGTATCCCCGAACCCCTCCAATTATCGCGATTATTTCACGGTATGAAGTATGCAGGGGGGTTGCACAATATTAATATCTCCTAGGATGAAATGAACCAGAAAGATAACTATAATCATAACTGCAGAGATTGCATTCATAACACGGCAGGAGTCAACACACGCACACTCACCCTTTCACTCACTCAAGTTCTCAACCGCACACACCATAGTTTATTTTTAAAAAAATTAAATAAGGCGTGCCCATGTTAAATTTAAACTTTGATTTTTTTTTTACAAAATAAAAAACTTTTGGACACATATTTTTGTAATTTTGAACATCCAAAAACCTTCCCCTGGGTCCTGTGAGGCCCCACACAAAAATTAGACCCGATCGGTTAAGTCGTTTTGACGTTTATTGAATACAATCAGGACAAACAAACATCATGACAATCAAAGTATATACATATAATATATATAGTTGATGAATATGGAGGCCAAATATAAAGAAGTTTTTAAAATTGAAGGTTTAAAAATTTATGAGCTTAGAAGCTAGGCCCACACTTTATTAAGTAAACGGTCTCTTTTGATTGAATTAAGGGTGATGATTTGATTACATTAGAAGCTAGGCCCACACTTTATTAAGTAAACGATCTCTTTTGATTGAATTAAGGGTGATGATTTGATTACATTAGAAGCTAGGCCCACAATTTATTAAGTAAACGGTCTCTTTTGATTGAATTAAGGGTGATGATTTGATTACATTAGAAGCTAGGCCCACAATTTATTAAGTAAACGGTCTCTTTTGATTGAATTAAGGGTGATGATTTGATTACATTAGAAGCTAGGCCCACACTTTATTAAGTTAAACGATCTCTTTTGATTGAATTAAGGGTGATGATTTGATTACATTAGAAGGTTCAAACTCAGATTGTCTAATACATGTATCTTGTAAACCTAGTTTGAAATATCTAAGGTCTACGACATTGAGTTGAAAAGATATAGGGATTGGGAAGTCAGAGTTATCATTTTAAATTTCAAATTTGTCAAGTTCAGTGTCAAACATTATATTCCGGCTTAGAAACCTAATTGAGAGGTGAGAATATAACTAGGCAGTTGGCTTATTTGTGATCCTTAATAACAAATTTCTTACATTGAAGTTGAAACATAAACCAATCCCATAGTACAAGTACAAATATTTGAAAAATGCATGCTTGCAAACAGTGGTTAGCCTTTATATCAATACAATGAAGACGACTTTTCTGTTTAAATGTTGATTTCTAACAAGCTTTTTTCAAATTACAAGCTTACACGTAAACAAAGAGAAGCTTTTAATTGACGGCTTCCCTTTGGTTCCATGTTCATGTGTATCCAAGCTGTTTTAAAGCTTGGTATAAAATCATAGACAGAGATAGACACTCTGCCAACTCAACTCACGAAACCTCTATTCTAAGAGGAAGTGAGGTTCATACAGTATATATGCTGACGGGACTGCAGGGGTTTGTTTTAAGCTTCGATTTTGGCATATATTTATACCATATATTAAGTAGACATTTTGCCGGCGTACACATCAATACTAAATGACTTGAGAGATAGATGTATATTTTCCCCATAACATGTAAACAAATAAGAAAGGAAGCACGGGAAAAATAACTTCTATCAATATCTACTCTGTGTGTAAAATCAAAATTGAAATCGAAAGTCGTCTTCATTGTATTATTATATACAACGACGACTGTATTTGCCTAGTCCCTATGTTAAAGTGTAAAGCTTACCCATGACTGTGTTTTGAGGTTCACCTTCTTAATAGAAACCTTGCTATTATTGAGTACACGTTCACCAATGTACATTGAACCAGTGACATCTACTCCTACAATATTAAAGTTAGGAGTAGTCACAGATCAGGTAGTCATAAATGGATCATTGACGCGGACCGCCCTGCCTATCTAGCTTGAAAGAGATTTACTAAACAGTCAGCTGCATGTATGATGTAGCTGTATATTTGGAGTTAATCAATCACACATAGATTTAGGATGCTTATAAACAGTCTCATCAATTTTTAATAAACAGTCAACCTTAAAGTGTAGACCTGATCTGTGTCAAATCTGTGGTAGAAAAATACCTTTTATTGAGCGAAGTTCTTAAAGTACACTATAAAGGATATTGCAAGTGAGGTCGAAATCTTAAATTTTTTCAATAATAACTCTTTTCATTAAAGAGTTATTAAAAATAATATAATGAATTTCTTTAATGTAACCGGATATATTTGCTTTGTAATACTTCTGTGCAAAAAAAAACAAAATTAATGGAGCTAAGAGGTCACAATGTCGTGCCACTAGTGTAGCATAAGTTTGACCTTCTCATTCTGTCTAATTTACATTGAGTAAACAATTTTAAACTCCATTTAATTAAAGAAACTGTACACTTCCCTCAGATTGTAATTTTCTAATCCTAGAAATTAGAAAATAATATTTCATGCCAAGTGTTCAGTTCCTAAATGTGATTCCTTGCAAAAGTGGCAAATTAATAGATTCGTGGTCAATATATAAAATATAGATCGCCCTTTTTTGAGAAATAGCTGTCAATAAATCTGATATAAAGGAGTTTAAGGCAGCCGCCATGTTTACCCATGTATTATTCTAATTTTGACCTGTTTTGACAAGGTTTATATAGTTTTTCTCAAGGTTTCCTTCAGCTGCTATTCCCCTGAATAATAATAATTCAAATATTCATCATTCTTTAAAGGGGCTGTTAAGGTAAAATAAAGGGGAGAATACGATAAAGCATAGAAATTTAGGTTAAACTTGACCAAAATTAGTTCTGTCTGTTGTCCATGTCTCGAGGAATTTATATGAAACTGTGTCAGAGTTATACCAAAACTCTAATATACGTGATATGGTCTATGGAGCCACGTAACCAGATACTGCAGGTGATACAGATTCCAATACCATGTCACAAAAGGGATGCGTTTCCACTTTTTTGAAACGATCGTTTCGTTTTAAAAACGACGAAGAAAAAACGAAATACGTTTTTTTTTAAAAACAGTCGTTTTCAAAAACAATCGTCTTTCGTTTAGAAACGCTTTTTAAAAACAATCGTTTTTAAAAACGACCCTTCTTTAACGATTGTTAACAACGACCCTTAATTAACGATTGTTAACGGCCTTTTAAAGAGAAAATACATTTTTAGTCGGAAATTCCGAGTTCAGAAAACATTTGTCTCGATAAAAGAAAACAATTTAAGACAACATTCATAACATTATCTTTTTCAAAAGCGATCGTTTTAAAAAAAAAGTTTGATAGTTCAAAACCAGTTGTTTGTTTTTAGAAAAAAAACTATTAGCAATCCTAGTTCACATATAAATGAGTTTTCGTACAACTCGGACGCAGTTTTCTCTAAAGAAGAAACATCAGATAGAACTTATTTTGGTTGCAAACAACTCCTAAAATTTTTAGGCTTACAACTTTAACCCCCTTTTCATTTTACCTTCATTAAAAACATTTTAATTTTACAAGTTGCTCTATAATGATTTTGATATCTAGTTTCCTAATTTTAGAAACTTCAATGCAGTGTTTAAGTATAAAGAACACTTTCAGTTTCACATTGTAAACTTCTCGTAGTTTGTATTCAAAAGCAAAAATAATTAGTTTAACACTTCTTAGAAAACCTGCAAATCTCAGATTGTCTTAACTACATTTCATATATATAAAAGGGTTCGAAAGGTAAAGGTCTCTGAACTTCTAAATTCTCTACTTTTTGTAAGTTTACCTGAGGGTAGAGAGGAACAGTTTATAGTTCTCAGATAAACTTTCATTTTCTTCCTTCTTTTTCAGAGAATCTTGTGCTTCTTGTTCTTTTTGTTCTTCTTGTTTCTCTTGTTCTTCTTGTGCTTTATGTCCTTGTTCTTCTTGTACTTCTTGCTGCTCATGTTCTCCATGCTCCTCTAACTCATCAAGATTTTCATTTTCTAAAGCTTCCAGACTTTCGTAAACATCTTCCTTTTCTCGTTCTTTTTGTGTTTTTTCTTCTTGTTTGTGTTTTTCTTCTTCTTCTTCTTCTTTCTCTTCTTCTTCTTCTCCTGTTTGCTTCCTTCTGTCTTCTTTCTTCACTAAAAGATCATTAAATTAATTAAACTTTACATAGCTTATACCTGCTTAAAGGGACCGTACAGTTGTAATTAAAAGTGACCGTTCACTTAACAAATATGTGCATGCCAGATTCACAACGGTACCCTTTAAACATTTTTCTTGCTTAACAGGTGTAAGATTTGGGAAAATTTCTCTAATGTTTCTGGGGCAGAAATGCGCTAGTCACTGAACACAGAGATACCATAATTGAAAAGTATCAACTTTTAAAGACAAGAAGATGGAATCGATTGCTCATGCATCAATTGATCAGACAAAATTTGACTGTGCCGTTTTAAATAGGACATACCATGCACAAAGGAAGGGTCACTTGAAATTACATATCCGATCCCTTTAAAGTAAAATTAGGTTACAGGATGATTAAGTAATTAATTCTAACCTGGTAAACTATATGTTACGTAATTTTCATTTTGGTCCGAGTATACAAAATAAACTGGATTTTCTGAATTAATGTAAACATTATTATTATTCTATAAGTATAATTTACCGACGGAGTCTGGGAATCTGGTTCGCCTTAAAAATTTATATTTTCAGTGAAAATCAGATCTTTTCAATGTTACGGTAATCAAAATACAACTTAAAAAAATAATTTTTTAAAGGGACTGTAAGCGTAATTTCAAGTGACCCTACCAGCAAAGATAGCAATGTCCGATTTACAATTAATGGGGACCTTAAAATCTTTTCTGACTCGAAAAGTATTTTTTTTCTGTGAATTTCTCCATTGGTTCTTATAAACAAAACGTTTGCAGAGAATCCTCATATGAAAATAAATAGTTTAAATAATCATAAACAGACATTTTATAATCTAATTGATCAGCCAAAAACCTTTTAAGGTAAATCAAGTATTGCAATCTTTGCGTTTGAAATTACGCTTACAGTCCCTGTAAGGTCACCTTGATTAATGGATTTCAAACCAGTAACAAAAAATTTTGTATGACACTTACACAGGAAGAAAACTAATTTGACTTCTTTTAACAATAATGGCACTGATTGATTGCCTTAAACTTTATTTTTCTAACCCCTATATATTTTAAACTTTAGACTATAATTTTATCCATGAATACCCACTATGAAACATTAAAGAACTACGATATCAGGTTGCAAACATAACGAATGAGAAAACGTTTGAGGTATCAGAGGTCGAATTTAAAGAATTTAAACCATGTCGCTGAACTGCCGAAAACCAGTTCCAATTGAGTGTCGGCTCAAATCTCGAAACACTAAATATAATGTCAAGTAAAACCAACCATGTTTAACCCGTTCAAATTCAGACACGGCTCAAATTCTTTGAATTCGGCCTCAGACCTTTTGTTTCTACAAAGTTTGACCTGAGTTCTCCAGATGGTTTAGGTGGTCTAGGGGGCGGAGTTCTAGTGTCTCCAGTATCTCTATGTGGTGGAATTCCAGGGGGTTGAACCGGGGCTCTTGCTGATGCTACTGTAGAAGTTGAAGAGGAAGTTGAAGAAGAAGATGATTGTTTAAGGATTGATTTGACCTGGATAAGATCTGACGAGTTGGTGAGCGTAGTATTGGTTTGAGCATTGAGATCTCCGGGTTGTTGGTTGAGCAGACCAGTTGACCAGCTTGACGCTGACCACCATCCAGGAGTATAATTATTCTCAGCATATCTAAATAAAAAATAATCTGGTTAGAAGTTGTCTGGGTGCAAAAATTTGATTCGTTTTTCATGGCTCTCCTTTGACTTTACAAATATCTAGAAAGACCGACAGTATGAGATCAGGATATGTTGGCATTAATGGAAGAAAATAACTCTCCCTTAAATTTTAGTTTTGATTTTTCTTTCACTAAAGTCTAAATCTTCTGCATGAGTCAATAAAAGGGGAAACTTTTAAAAACAAATATTTTGCTAGATATTGATCTGCGTAGATTTTTGTGAAGCCACTTGTTTCTGAAACCTAAAAACTAAAATGTTTAAAATAACGGGATTTCTGGATGATTGTTTTGGAATCTGGACAGATTCTATTGAGAAATTATATCAATTCCTGGATGATGTCAATAAAATTCATCCTACAATCAAGTTTACTCTAGAACATAGTTCTCCATTTTATTGTGGTTTAAAGGATGAACATGACTGTTGGTGCCACAGAACAAAAAGTATTCCATTTCTTGACACAAAACTGTACAATGATTTTTACACATTTTTTTTATTTTTTTAATCGATTTTGATGGTTATTATATCGTTAGAACTGACGAGGGTCAACCCAGACCGAAATATATTTTCAATAAATGTGGAACTAACATCTACTTTTTTACTCTACAGAGGTTTGGTCCATCACCATCACTGAATTTTGGATCTCTAGTGCTCTATTGCTTTAAGGCTATTTAAAGAATTTCTTTTTAAAAAATCATTAAAGGTTAAAATGATGATATGACATGCACTTGTTTTTTGTTGGTGTTCCGATTCAGAATGCACAAAAGAGCCATCTTAATGGATTTAAATGCTTTTTAACGGTTGACTAGCCCTACGTAAGTAACTAACTGTTGTTAATACTTGCCTTTGTCCAATGATTTGGGTTTCATCAGGAAGCTTAATCTCTGTTTTAAAATCCTCTGGACGTAGAAGTGTTTTCTTCCCGACTTGGAGGATGGCGGTGGTGCGATTCGACTTTTGGTTCCCGACTCTTGGAATAGTAGGAAGATGCAGATTTTGTTTCCCGACTCTTGGAATAGTAGGAAGATGCAGATTTTGTGTCTCGGGAGTAGAAATGCCGGGAAATTGTAGTTTTATCTCTGGCCCGGAAATGGTTGATAGATGGAGACGATCTGTAGAAATCTTGAATTTATCTAATCTATAAATTCAAACTCATTTGGAATTCATACCATGGGATGGGTTTCATAAGCAAATAATTGCACTACTTATTTAGCAGTTTTAAGGCTAACATCTATCTGTAGAGCTTAAATCAAATGGTTATCAAGATAAAAAGTAATTTTGCTGCATTTTTTCAACAATATTGCTAACAAAAGGAAGAAAGAGGAAAAGGATTCTTTATAAAATAATTTAATAATCAACATTTTTAGAGTTGAGTTTAAACCTGGATAGAATAAGCTTCTTGTAGTATCCAATATCATTTGGCCGACCCTAAACATTAGGAGAAATTAAAGCACTGTTATTAGATCAATATTTTGGTATTTTTAATTGGCTTTTTCAAAAAGGCAAGTTTTATACTTGTCGAGATTAAATTCTGGTTTATTAAGTCTTGAATTTATCATTCTAGATTAGTACCAATAATTACGCCCCTCTGTAAAGAGGAAGTGTCAACTTAATTTCAAGTGAACCTCCATTTATAGATTGGAAAGTCCAACTCATAACCTACCCTTTAAAGCCTTGTTCAATTGAATGAGATAATCACGTATTGATCTTTTAAAGTTGATTAATTTGAATTGTGGGTTTTCTTCAACAGTATTTCTGCTACAAAACTGTGAAGGAAATCGATGGTGCCCCTCTTTAAATGAAGGGAAATTGAAATAACAACATAAGTCTCTTTGTTGTAACTCTTAAAAGTGTTGAAATTTCGGGAAATATGTAAATCCTTCCAGATTGATCTCTTCATAGAAAGCTTTTCATTATCTGTTTTCATTATCTGTTTTCATTGTCTGTTTTCATTGCCTGTTTTCATTGCCTGTTTTCATTGTCTGTTTTCATTGTCTGTTTTCATTGTCTGTTTTCATTATCTGTTTTCAATGTCTCTTTTCATTGTCTGTTTTCATTGTCTGTTTTCATTGTCTGTTTTCATTATCTGTTTTCATTGTCTGTTTTCATTGCCTGTTTTCATTGTCTATTTTCATTGTCTCTATTCATTGTCTCTTTTCATTGTCTGTTTTCATGGTCTGTTTTCATTGTCTGTTTTCATTATCTGTTTTCATTGTCTGTTTTCATTGTCTGTTTTCATTGTCTATTTTCATTGTCTGTTTTCATTGTCTATTTTCATTGTCTGTTTTCATTGTCTGTTTTCATTGTCTGTTTTCATAGTCTGTTTTCATTGTCTGTTTTCATTGTCTGTTTTCATTGCCTGTTTTCATTGTCTATTTTCATTGCATGTTTTCACTGTCTGCTTTCATTGTCTGTTTTCATTGTCTGTTTTCATTGCATGTTTTCATTGTCTGTTTTCATTGTCTGTTTTCATTGCCTGTTTTCATTGTCTGTTTTCATTGTCTGTTTTCATTATCTGTTTTCTATGTCTGTTTTCATCGTCTATTTTTATTGCCTGTTTTCATTGTCTGTTTTCATCGTCTGTTTTCATTGTCTGTTTTCATTGTCTGTTTTCATTATCTGTTTTCTCACACTAAACTAAAATAGTTTGTTAGGTCAAATAAGCCTATGATTGGTCGAGTACTGTAAAAAAATCTGGTTGTGCCATCAAGGTTGAAACTGAGTCGATATAGGATAGGGTGTCGGTCCGCCGTAGGTCGGTACAAGGGGTCCGTCCAGTTCGAATTCAAATTGTTTCTGAAGTCTATAGTCCACATTGTTCTGTTTTGATATATCACCTTGAATAATTGCTGGGCTCTCTTTAGATTAACCTCTCTTACTTCAGCAGGATCATAATCAGATACATCTGGGGTAAAATTTTCCAAACATTGCAGATTTCCTCCCATCTTCCCTTCCTCAGCTGGTGATTGGAGCATAGATACTTTACTGTTCTTATACATTCTTACGTCATCCAAACTCCGGTACTGCAGGCTCTAATAAGGGATAATAATTGTAGGATAGTAGGATAGTAGGATAGTAGGATAGTAGGATAGCAGGATAGTAGGATATAGGATAGTAGGATAGTAGGATAGTAGGATAGTAGGATAGTAGGATAGTAGGATAGTAGGATAGTAGGATAGTAGGATAGTTATAGGATAGTAGGATAGTAGGATAGTAGGATAGTAGGATAGTAGGATAGTAGGATAGTACCTGAATGTCTAAGTCTAGTCCAGGGTAGTATTTTCTAACAGGTTTATTATACATTCTTTCCTTCTCATCCTTCTACACCCAACAATATTAAACGAGAGATGATGAATTATGTAAAATTCATTTTCAATCTAACTCATGTTGCCGGGGAGCGTTTAAAGCATGAAACTATTTGTACATCAATAAAATGAAAAATAATCTTTGTTTTTTATCAGATATATTTACGCAAATAGACAAAAATAGATAAAAACACAGACTAACATAAAATTAAGATAAAAATTTTTTAAAAAGTTCTTCAGAATTTCTAAATAAAAGACTTTAAAAACAACTCGGAATGCAAAAAAAATGAGAACACACAGTGAGCACGCATGTTCAGCACTCCCTATTGATCGACGCATGATATTGTTGACATATTGAAAAATGAGTAAAATTTTGAGATTTAGACATTGTAACAAAAAAATAAATTAAGAGAACAATAATCAAGTAAATAAATTCAAAATAATTAAATTATAGTGAACCAATTCTAAAAACTTTCATATAATAAAAACATATAGACAAAAATAAATTTACGAAACTGAACAGTTGAGTTTTGAAACTTTAGAATGTTGTTTGGGTGAGATTCCTTGACAATGCAATCACTCTAAATAAGTTGATAGTTAGATGGGGGTCGGCTTTCATAATACAATGAAGCCGACTTTTCGATTTAATTTCTTATTTCCAACAAGTTTTTTTTTGTCAATTACAAGTTTACAAGTAAACAAAGAGAATCTGAAAAATTGATAGCTTCTATTTGTTTCCATGTTTATCCATGTTGTTTGTAAGCTTGATAGAAATCAAAAATTGAAAAATAAAGTCGTCTTTATTTATTGATAGAGAGGTCGACGACTGAATATAAATTGTTCGAAAAAAATTCCAAAAATTCGTTGTAATTTGGAACTATTAAAACATATGGATGTAAATGTAACGAACATTCTTTATGAAATTACAATTACAAAATGTTAGAACTTATAAAGTGAATAATTAGGTTTGTTCAGAGAGAAATATTAACATACGTAAGGTTGTCCAGTTCAAAGGCTAACCTTTGCTTGTCTGTCTGTCTGCTTGTTTGTTTGCTTATATCCAATAAATGCAAAAACGGCTGAACCGATCGGGCCCAAATTTTGTGTGGGACCACACTGAGTCACATGACCCCAGGGAAGGTTTATGAAACATGAAAATTGGAAAAGAAATTCCTGGGAAACAGTTTATTTTCGAAAATATGCCAATTCGAAAATAAAAATCCGCCAATATTTGAAAATTATTCAAAATGGCCGATTTTCAAAGCAACAGTTAAAAGCTAAACTTATTTCAAGAAAATAATAATTCCTACTTGAAGGATACTATTCCATTGTAATGGAAGTCCAGTGAGCCGGCCAACTTTACTGTCATAATCCGTGTGAACCTAAAATAAGATTCAGAAACTTACACTTTTTGCACGATACTTTTAAAATTGCAAGAGCTGAAAACTTTAGAATGGGATATCCTTAATCCCTATCGGTTAATTAATCTGGAGATTAATAGTAAGAGGAAAACAAGCAGCATTATTTAATATCGAGATTAAGAAAAAGTGTGGGTCACGCATTAATCCTGATATCCACGATTCAAAAGTTCCCAGCTTAGAACAAATTTTATTTTTAAGAAGCAAACTTAAAACTGGATCTTGGGATATAAGAAACTGCAGATAGTGTAAATATTGGGCCAGCAGAAAATGTTTTATTTGTTCTTGAATTAAGTAGATACCTTGCATAGATTAATAACAATACAGATAGAAAACTGAAAAGACGACATCTAGTGTATTGTTATTGATCTCTGATACCTTGTGTCTGAAATTTGAAGGGAAAGAAATATCCTTTTTTCTGGGTTTATGCCCAGGCATTTTTCTGTAATACAATTTTAAGGTTTTTTCTTCGGTTTTGTGAATTTAAGTAAAACACACAATTTTTCGAATATTTTTAATTTAGGAAACAAATGAAAAATTCGTTAAAAAAATAAAAAGACCATTCGAGCTTAGTAAATACTAGTTTGGGGAAGTGATATTCAAAAGAGCACAATGTTGGGGGGAGGGGGGATGATAAAGAGGGGCGATATGACACTCGCCCCCTATTCCCCCTAAACTTAAAATTAACTTAATGCACGCACAGGTTGAATTCCGATGATCAACTGAATATCTATGCGCAGACGACATTCACGGTTCAGTAAGCATACAGCTAGTGTCCCGATAAACATACAGCTGGTGTTCCAATAAACTTGACAGTATAGTTACCATTTCGAGAGAAGTTGTAAAGGATTTTTGGTTTAGTTTGATTACAGGGGTGTATTTTTTCAGACCGTTAGGTGGGCGAGCGGGGAAAATGGTCACAAAAAGGCAAATTTAAAAAAATTTTGATGCTTTCACGAAAAAATTTACTTATTTTCTCTTAAAAATAATTTAATTTCCTTAACTCCGCAAACATATATCACTTATGGGTGGAAAAAATATTTTCAGAATAGGAGGGGGGTGGGTTAATGAAATTTTTAGTAAAATATACACCCTGTTACGATGAAGTCCTTCAATGTTTCGTCTGCTATTAGAGTTTAAAACATGTTTGTCTATGATTTGATTGCATTCTGTTGTATTGTGGTAAACTTGAGTAAAGGAATTAAGTCTTGTATGAACCAAGTTCAATAATGCGTAGATGAAGCAGGAACCGAGTTTAAACCGACTCAAAGAAGTTCGTAGTAAGATTTCGATATTACTGGAGACCACCGAAGGGATTTTATTTTCACTGGAGAGGTTTCAAAAAATGCTTTTTACAATTTAAAACTTTACGCAGGGTGATTTACATTCCACTGGATGGATTCAGATGTCCTTACTGGGTGGTTACAATTCCACTGGAGGGATTCAGTTATCCTTCCTAGGGGTTTATAACTCCAATGGAGGGATTCAGATATCCATCCTAGGGGTTTAAAACTCCACTGGAGGGATTCAGATGTCCTTCCTGGGGGTTTATAACTCCACTGGAGGGATTCAGATATCCTTCCAAGGGGCTTATAATTCCACTGAAGGGATTCAGATATCCTTCCAAGGGGTTTATAATTCCACTGGAGGGATTCAGATATCTTTCCATGGGGTTTATAATTCCACTGGAGGGATTCAGATATCCTTCCTGGTGGTTTGTAATTCCAATGGAGGGATTCAACTGAATCCCTCCAGTGGAATGTAAATCACCCTGCGTAAAATTTTGAATTGTAAAAAGCATTTTTTCAAACCCCTCCAGTGAAAACGAAATCCCTCCGGTGGTCTCCAGTGGAGTCAGAATCTTACTACGAACTTCCGTGACTCGTTTAAACCAGGAAGAATATCTTAACTGTACTTAAAGAAGGGGTTGGAGAAACTCTGATTTTCTAATCCCTATATATTTGCAGCTTTATGATGTAAACCTTTAGTCTTTCAAACTTAGATGATTCGACCCAACAGAATTCATAATCTTTGACATTTTGTTGCAAAGATATAGGGACTAAAAGCCAGAGTTTGTGGCAAAGACTCAATTCCTTCTGTAAACAACCAAAATTATATTCACTGTTCACGTTTTACAGGCCACATATTACAACACGTTTTAATAACTTTAACCCTAGTAAGCGTAACTTTATTATGAAATGAGACAGATACAAGTTGGGTTTCCAGCGAAAAGGAAAAATGGTTTCGCGACCATTTCATATCGTATTTCGTTCGCATGCAAAAATGACATTATTTTTGCATTTCACATTTTTTACATTTTTTCGCGGAACGTTTTGTTCGCTGGAAGCCCTAAATACAAGGCTAATTCTTAGCGAAGAGAATTGCATTAAATTCTCATGTTTATTGGGAGTTAGGACACTCTGTCTTAAGATTTCATTAATTAATCAGCTGTTGATCCCTCCGCCTTTATTCTGTTTCTACACCTGCCCTTCAAATACTCCATTCTTCTGTCTAAATCATGTTTAAATATTATCATTGTCCAATTATTCACACAGAATTACGTTAGACACTTTTACGCATGTTTAGTTTTTGTAAAAATACTTCAACCAAATTGTATTTTTGTAGCATTTAGACGAACGCAATTTTAGACAGATATTGACAGAAAATAATCCACTAAATTTAAAAGAAACCGGGATTTTCTCGCCCCTTGCGATTATTTTAAGAGAAAGTAACATCAATGATTCTGGAGTCACTTAAAATTATTAGAATAGTCGGACTAATGTGATAACCAGTAAACTCTGAAATAGTAAGACGACTTTTAGAATCAAGTTGTAACTTTAAAAAGTTCAAAGAGCATGAGACACGGAAATTGTGCAGTGTGAACAGACCTATTTTACTAAATTAATGATTTAATAAGTTTCCAGTAAAACTATTTGCTTTGAAATAACATCAAATACACTTAAGAATTGCTATAAAGTCGTCTTCCTATTCAATTGGTTTTTGGTTATCACTGTTCAAAATTAAAACTTATCAATAAAATTCATGAATCTAAATTTTCAAATAATGGAAATGTTCTAACAATTTTTTAAAAATCCCCGAATTTTAATAGAAAATTAGGTAAAAGCTCAGTTTTCCAGCCCCTTTCCACCGAGATGGAGGCTAATTTTGTTCTCTCACAGAAGGTTACAAACTTACTTAAGGATGATGAAAATCATCTGTACAACAAATACAAAGAGAACAAGAACAAGACCTGAAGGCTATGTGTGCAAGCTTTGATAGTGTACCCTTGAACAACTTTTAAAAATGTTTTGAAAAATAAGTTTTGTAGTTATTTTAATAAGTTTTGAGTTTGATAAGTTTTGTAGTTTGATAAGTTTTGTTGTTTGATAAGTTTTGTAGTTTGATAAGTTTTGTAGTTTGATAAGTTTTGTGCTGATAAGTTTTGTTTTGATAAGTTTTGTTATTAGATAAGTTTTGTTTTAATAAGTTTTGTGGTGATAAGTTTTGTGGTGATAAGTTTTGTGGTGATATGTTTTGTATGGTCATATATATTTTATATATTTTCTAACATTGGCATTAAAGCAAGATTTATATTTTTGGCTCAGTTTCGAAAAGAATAATATTATATTACGAAGTAAATTCTGATTTCTGGTCGCTTTCATTCATTTTTAACATTCAATTGCAACAATAGTAAAACAGGACAAGAACAAGTTGTTTTTACATCATCTCAGAAATAAAGAAGAAAAAAAAATATATTTTTAGCCTGATTTTGCAACAGCTCACCGAGATTTTATTTATCATCGTTGTTCTTCAAGGTTGAGTAACTTGAAGAATTTCTAGAATTATTCAAACTCAAGCTGATTTCATGCTCCAATAATCAGTCAAATCAGCTGCTTCAATCATAAATCATATCAGCTAATTAATTTAATAGTTTTATTCCCTAGTTCAAAAAATAGTTTTTTTCAAGTTTCAAAAGTTTTATCAGCTTGTTCATTCACTAGTTGTATCAGGTAGTTTATTATATAGTTTTATCAGCTAGCTCGTTTAATAGTTTTATCAGCTAGTTTATTTGATAGGTTTATGAGATAGTTCATTGAATTGTTTTATCAGATAGTTCATTGAATAGTTTTATCAGCTAGTTAGTTCAATAGGTTTATTAGCTAGTTTATTCAATAGGTTTATCAGACAGTTCATTGAATAGTTTTATCAGCTAGTTAGTTCAATAGGTTTATTAGCTAGTTTATTCAATAGGTTTATCAGACAGTTCATTGAATAGTTTTATCAGCTAGTTTATCTAATAGTTTTATCAACTAGTTCATTTGTTATTTTCAGTAAACACCAGACAATAGACACCAGACAGTAGACACCAGACAGTAGACACCAGACAGTAGACACCAGTCAGTAGACACCAGAGAGTAGATACCAGACAGTAGACACCAGACAGTAGACACCAGATACTATATACACTAGACACTAGACACTAGACGCTAGACACTAGACACTAGACACTAGACACTAGACACTAGAAACTAGACACTAGACACTAGACAGTAAACACCAGACAGGAGACTCTATACAGTAGACTCTATACAATAGACAATAGACACTAATCGCTTGACAATATTTAATAGACACTAAACTGTGAATATTAATCATTTGACAGCAACTTACTAAGGAGTCTTTGTATTAGTTGCCACAACTTTTTGAAACAATTTTACAATTCGTTTTTAAAATCAAACGGACCAAAACATTGGGAAAGGAATTGAGTCCTTGTCACAAACTCAGATTTTCTAATCCCTTTTGCTTTGCAACTCAATTTCAAAGACCTTAGATATTTCAAATCAAACTATAAATTTTGTTGGATCAAATTATCTAAATTGAAAAAATATCAAAGGTTTACGCCATCAGGTTGTTAAGATATAAGGATTAGAAAATTTGAGTTTGTGTCAAAGACTCAATTCCTTTCGAAATTACAAGCAGAATGTTATGGATATAAGAATAGGCAAAATATCAGCCAATATTCTGTTTACAATTTCTAACAACATGTTTCTAACTTCGAAATGATTTAGGTAGTTTGAGCAGTGTGACTGATAACTCTAACTGATTAGTTTTCAGTGGAAGGTGTGTATAGCAGGGGCAGAAGGATTAATATTCTACTTTGTAACTTTATACTCTGCAGAGGATTATATGTATTAACTGTCTTTCTCTGCTCACGTCTAGTAAAAAACATGTTAACATAAAAAATTGCATGTTGCAGTTTTAAATTTATAAGTTTGACCCTCACTTTAGTTAGTCCAAAAATTAAACATCTATAATCTTACCTATACTTACAACTTACACTGTTTACACATAATCTAATAGGAAAAGAACGCAGTAATAACAATTTTAAAGGGCGGAGAGGTGTTCAAACTTCATGTTCCATGATGTATGTAATACAGCGCGTCCCATATCACATTGGATTATTTCCAAGCTTTAACTAGAGGAGCCTTGTATTTTTTGCCAGAGCATTTTTGTATTTGCGCAATTTTTTTAAATGGCTCAGTCTTTTCGAGTTTTAGGTTTAGTTTAAAAATCCCAATTTCTAGATATGCAAGATCCAAATTTTGAATCTAATTTTTTTATCAAGAAAGAATTGTTAGAAGACGACATTTTCATTTTGCGTACTTTGCATATTTTCCGTATTCTTCCCCGGTATAGAGTTACCAACAAAGAATGAGGCTTCAGAGCCGACGCATTTATTAGCAATTAAACATTGGGGTATTTTCTAATTGGACAGTCAAATTGATTTCAAGTGACCCCCACCACCCAGTTAAAAATCAACAAGTACAACTCTTAAACTATTTTTCAGCCCAAAAATGATTTGCGGATATCTGTTGCACCTGGAGAAACAAAGAAGAAATTAACAAAAATCAAACTTTTACATGTAAACATTTAACACAGCAATTGTGCAAATTGTATAAAATATTAGATAATTTTTGTCTTTCTATTCCACAGTTCTAGGGTTCTCACTGTAGCTTCTGTAAACATGTTTTCTCTTTTCTTTTCTGTCCCTTTAACTATAAAACCAAATTCACAACTCTTTATTTTCATCGTTTACTCCCATATGTCTTTATTTAACATACAGCGTGCCCCACATCATATTAGATCGTCAATCGGTCTAAATTACGATTTGCGGGACTTATCAGAAAATTTAAGAAGAATGAATCATTTTGAAAAAAATAATTATATTTTTAGAAAATAAAATATTTTTTTTAAAAACTCACTTTACATTTTAAAGGTCTAAAATTGTCGAAAATAAGTAAGATTTACACTTTGAACTATGAACATGAATTGCATTGCATCATTGTTGAACCTTTTACTCCTTAGAGGTATCCAAATGTCTAATAATTCTTGGTATAATATTATTGGACATTTGTTTTTGTGTGTAAGTTTTTAAACCCAAATTCTATTCTGTTTTCCAAATAAAGAAAAATGATGCGCAGAATATAAAGTTGTGGATTAAATTCAGATTTACATATTGAATAAATTATTCAAATAAATTTCTTCTCTCCTCCATTAGTTTCTGAATCACTTTATTTTGTTTATTTCATCTTATTTTAAACTCCATATGTCAACAAATAGAATCTTTTATAATAAAGATTAGATATTCGATTATCTTCCAGCTGCACTCACTCCTGTTTGCCGAGTCCATTAGCGCCTGATCCAATCAGGGTTCATTCATGTCTTTGTTGTCTATTTTCAACCAATAGAAATAGTATATCAATCTCAATATCCAATTAGAGATAAATCCTTATATCGGCGTTATCAGTAAATGGAAATATTTACTTCTACTGAAACTATAGTGCACTGACTTCAAATATCCCAGTTTAAATGCAAGAGCAGCTCCATGTTGAACTGATTTGCATTCAATTTGACAAAAAAACTTCATTAAGTTTTCGAAAAATTTTGTTTCCGTTCAAAGTTTGGGAAATCCTTTGATGTTCAAATTTGGAAACAATCAATATTTGATTTTTTCAATGTTCTTAAAAAAAGAAAATCATCTAAATCAGCTTCTAATTTTCAACACTGTTCGTTACTTGGTACTTAAAAAGGTTATCCTTGGTTGATTTGCGGTTTTTGATGCTTTATCATTAGCCTGCAGGGGGGTGTTTCCATTTTTTTCTCGGATCGATTAGGACCCGTACGTAGTACGTACACCATAGTTTCAGTAGAAGTAAATATTTCCATTTACTGTTATAGCGCCGAAATAAGGATTTATCTCTAATTGGATAATGAGATAGATAGAAAGATAGACGTTACCGCAATACAATTTCTATTGGTTCAGAATAGACACCAAACACATGACTGAACCCTGATTGATGGACTCGGCATACTAGATTGAGTAAAGGCCTTTCGGAACCTTTTCTTGAGCTCTTAAGAATTCTAAACCATTAAAACTTTTGAAAATTAAAGGCAGAACCTTTATGAACTGAATTTTTAAAAAAATCTGCCTCCTTCTTTATAGTTCTGTGTGTGACCTGCTGAAAACAGTTTACAGGACGAATTTCTAGTGTGTGCGATGAGTAAGGTATAGTGAACAGCTCTATACTCCAAAGTAGAATAGTAATTGTAGGATGTTTTGTCATATTATTTAAGAATTGTAAAATATATGTTTCTTCTGCTGACTGAAACAACAGCTGAAGTACATATTACAAACAACTTTACGCTCGTATTTAGAAATTGTACACCGCAAAAATGTCCATTGGTCTAAATTTTTTCTCCATAATACAGCACTTTCATCTCAACTACCGCTTCTAACAAGTCACTCCCTTTAAGGCAAAAATTTGAGTACGATTAAAAGTGGCAACTTTAATGAGCTTAAAACGTTAATAGATTAAGGGGGCGCAGCATGCCCAAAAATCTAGATTCCAATTTATATTAAATATATAATGAAATTCCTTTGAATAAGATTGACTTTTATAATTCTCAGAAATTCATTAATTTTGTTTTATTTATTTTGTAGATAAATTAAGGATAGAGATAAATTAAGATTACTGTGAAATATTAAGTAAAAAGTTTATAAAAAACACCTTTAACATATCTTTAAAATAAAATACCATATCTGTAAAGCATGAACTATTTAACTGTGTATACCTAAAGATATCTAAGATATCTAAAGATATACATTGTGTATTGTAATGTATATTTTATATACATATCGGAAATATGAGAATAATAGGAAGTGAAAAGGTTCTGAAACTTGATAACTTTCCGCAATTTGTAAATGTATTTGTAACACTAGACAAATACAATTTATCCACATTTTCTATATTGCACTACAATAGCAACATATAATTATGTCTATTGTCTATATTCTATTATATAATCCTGAAATGCATGTAATGTATATTGGTATGCATGTACATTAGTGCTTCATTATTCCTACTAAAAATAAAGGCTCCCTGTTTTGCACCCAAGAATGTTGTTAATGTTGCAATTATGGAGTCATCATTTGTATGATATATAGGATTGTTAATTTTTTCTTTAAAAACGAACAAAAGAGTCATCCTTTGTCGCTTCGTTATTGATTTTTCAAAACTAACGAGCATTCCGTTAAAAAATAATGAACTGTTTTTTTTTTATTTTGAAAAACGAAAACCGGAACGACAAGGTGTTCGTTTAACTGAAATTTTGATTCCTAAATTCAAGTTTTTAAAAGTAAGATTTTTCTGATCTAAGGGGTTCCGACTTAAAAATGTATTTGATATTTTCATAAAACTACAAGATAGTTTTTAATCTATTTAAAGACAAATAAGATATAATAGTTTTTTAATCTATTTGAAAACACGACAAAACATGACAATCGTTAACAAAGGATAGGTGTTAACGATCATTTAGAATTTCTTCCATGGAATTTATAAGATACAGGTTTCAAGGGACCTGTTGTGAATCAGTCATTGCTCTCAATGTCGTACTAGCAATTTCGCAAAAATTTGACATTTTTTGTGCTTTAGATTGGAGTTAATTCGTTCCAATTTTTTCTTTTTCAGGCAATACTTACAATATGTCCATATCTTTATGTTTTCTCTTAATTTCTCATAAATATTAATACATTATCTATAGACTGTTCTAGAAAGAAAAGTTTGTCTAAATAATAAACTTTTTTATCAAACTATTGTTTACTTTATTACTCATGGACACTTCTTCGTAAATAATTTTTATAATTTTTATTTCCATCTTCATCTTCATCTGACGTTTTTAGTCTTCATCTTCCTCACTCTCAACTTCAGGTTCACGAACCTAAATTAACTCACTTTAGCTACAGTTCAAAAATGGATAAGATAAAACGAAAGAATGGATCAGGTTGAAATAGAAAAAACTAAAAATCGATTTTAAACACAGAATGGGGAAAAAATTAAACTGGTTAACCAAATCCAAATTTAAAATGAGGAGAGTTCTAACATCTCAAATGTGATGTTCATAGTTTAATAAAGTGTTTGCTCCCCTGTTATTATTTTAGCTGTACATATATATAAACCTAACCAACCCTAGAATAGAACCTGGTATTGTTATTTATTTTCATAAATATATGAACCCAACCTGTCCAAGAAGTTGATCTAGTTTCTTGATTTCCATTTCTCCAGCTTTCTTAATATCACGGTTTAGAAGAGCAATCTTTACTTCTTTACTCTGCCGTCGGAGGTTAGGGGACAGTTTTAAACACTAGAAAACAATTGCTTAAAATGTTTAAATAATTAAAATCAAACAACCAAATTTATTTTATCTAAACCATTTCGCGTCGTGAGGACAATTTTGTCTTTATGCTCAAAAGTCCATCTAGAGTTTTTTCATTTTCGGTACTAAAAAAGCTTAGAAACCCATGATCATATAACAATTTTTTTTGAGAAAAAATGTGCTATTTCAATAAATATAGTTTAGATCATTGCTTTCACAAGGTTTAAAAAAGTACTACCAATCCAATTAAGGGTTTTCTGGAAATTGTACAAGATTTTATTAAAACAAATAAGAGAGAATTTCTGTAGTTTTCTCAAATTTTTCATTTTTCTATGAATTAAAGAATATTATCGGATAAATCGTGCGCTTGCCTTACTTGATTTTAAATATAATTCGGCGGCCATATAATAGTACTGAACAAGAAGGAGGTCAAATTTAAGTGAGATTACGGTGTGACATCGTCGCTCCTGTAGTTTTGATTTTACGCAATGTATGAGAAATTAAGTAAGTATATTTGAATACATTTTTACATGTAGCTGATCCCGATAAGATAAAGGCCCAATTTTTCTTGGAGGTGCTCTATGAATCTCTTGTAACCATTTGAGACTGGGTGCATGTTCAAATTCAGAAAAAAGATAAAATTTACAAAAATTGGGACACCCTCTAAACTTTGCGTTTATGAATAAAAGGTTATAAAAATATTTTGTCTCTTCACTCAATTATAATTATATATTTGTATGAAATAAATCTTGTAGCTGGTAACTAAAAAAATATCATTTTCAACTTAATTTTTGAAATCTTTTACCTGGACATAACCTCTACTGTCACCAACAATTATGATCGGATAGCATTGATTAAATGCAATATGATTTAATCTGGCCTAAAATAAAATAAATTACAGAAAAGGAAAAGCAAACCCTTCAACTTTGTGTTTTCTTTTTGTTGCATTTTTACAGTTAAAAAGATATTTCTAAGTATCTGAGTTTTTCATCGATTAAAAAACTTAACTTACCCTTTTCTTTGGTACAACTGCTTGTACACAGATGGGGTTGTACTTGTTTATAAACAGATCATAGATATGTACCCTGAACATGGAATATAAACAGATCATAGATATGTACCCTAAACATGGAATATAAACAGATCATAGAAATTAGAGATGTACCCAAAACATGGAATATAAACAGATCATAGATATGTACCTAAACATGGAATATAAACAGATCATAGATATCTACCCTAAACATAGAATATAAACAGATCATAAATATGTACCCTAAACATAGAATATAAACAGATGATAGATATATACCCTAAACATAGAATATAAACAGATCATAGAAATTAGAGATGTACCCAAAACATGGAATATAATCAGATCATAGATATGTACCCTAAACATGAAATATAAAAAGATCATAGATCATAGAGTACATAGAGTACAAACAGATCATAGATATGTACTCTAAACATAGAATATAAACAGATCATAGATATGTACCCTAAACATGGAATATAAAAAGATCATAGATATGTATCCTAAACATAGAATATAAACAGATCATAGATATGTACTCTAAACATTGAATATCAGATCATAGATATGTACCCTAAACATGGAATATCAGATAATAGATATGTACCCTAAATATGGAATATAAACAGATTATAGCTAGATATGTACCCTAAACATGGAATATAAACAGATCATAGATATGTACCTTAAACATAGAATATAAACAAATCATAGATATGTGCCCTAAACATGGAATATAAACAGATCATAGATATGTACCCTAAACATGGAATACAAACAGATCAGAGATACGTACATAGACTTATACACAGATAATTAGTGATACTGACATTCCATCTAGAAGAAGAGTAAATAACCTACCGACATACCATCTAAGTAAAACATAAAGTTGAAACCTAGTGACCTGCTATCTATAGTGCAAGAGAATTACACCTACTGACCTACTATCTAGGGTTATACAAGAGTATTAAACCTACTGACCTACTATCTAGGGTTATACAAGAGTATTAAACCTACTGACCTACTATCAAGTGTTGCACAAGAGTAATAAACCTACTAATCTACTATCTAGTGTTACAAAAAAGTATTAAACATACTGACCTACTATCTAGGGTTTTACAAGAGTATTAAACATACTGACCTACCATCTAGTGTTACAAAAAAGTATTAAACCTACTGACCTACTATCTAGTGTTACACAAGAGTATTAAACCTACTGACCTACTTTCTAAGATTATACAAGAAAATTAAACCTACTGACCTACTTTTAAGGATTAAACAAGAGCATTAAACCTCCTGATCTACTATCTAGTGTTGCACAAGAGTATTAAACCTACTGATCTACTATCTAGTGTTGCACAAGAGTATTAAACTTACTGATCTACTATCTAGTGTTATACAAGAGTACTAAACCTACTGACTTGGGTTACACAAGAGTATTAAACCTACTGACCTACTATCTAGTGTTACACAAGAGTACAAAACCTACTAACCTGCTATCTAGTGTTTTATAAGAGTACAAAACCTACTGACCTACTATCTAGCGTTACACAAGAGTATTAAACCTACTGACCTACTATCTAGTGTTACATAAGAGTACAAAACCTACTAACCTGCCATCTAGTGTAACGGCAGCAAATACAGTACTAGAATATGGTGCCCAAGCTATATCACCAACCTACAAATAATTGGATTAATGAAACCTATAAATGTAAAAAAATCTTTAACACTATGGAAAATCATATATATATATATATATATATTTATATATATTGTTTTAGACAAATAACGTGTCCCAGGTCATAGTTAGTCCAACCGTTTACACGCCCCTTGTAACTTTAGCAATTTTCCAGTTGAAAGTTGACCCACTCATCTTAGAATCTCAAAACCGAGCTAAGAACATTCCCGTGGGTCTCCCGAGTTCCCCAATACAAATTTGAGGCAAATCAGTCCAGGGGTTCCTGAGTTATGATCAGACAAACAAACAAACAAAAAACAGAAAAACAGAGACTAGCTTGGGAACTAAGCGCTGTCAAGGTAAATAAAAGTTACTCCGGCCATTTACCCGCACTTGAACGATTTTACCGGGAAACTAAATTCCCGCTATTTAAGTCGACCCACTAAATTTAGAATCTCAAAACAAAGCTAAGAACATTTCTGTTAGTCTCCTAAGTTCTCCAATCAAAATTTGAGGCAAATCGGTCCAGGGGTTCCTGAATTATGATCGGACAAACAAACAAACAGGCACCCAAACAGAGATTACAACTTTATGTATATAGATTCTAAATATATATTAAATATATATGTATTAAACAAAAAAAACATAACATTAAGTTTAAACATGTTTATTGAGACTGATGAGGATCGAAAGATCTGTAAGAAATTGTATTAATAAATATGAAAAACTGAGACTGGTCTGATTATTGCTTAATTCCTAGTAATATATTTATATGTTGAGTAAATATTCCTCGAAGTGGGGTGGATATGTGGATGACGGATTGAGGATGAGTGTCGGATAAATATGATCTGGAATGAATGGTGGATAATGATGAAGGGGAGGGAGGGGAACAGGAAAATAAAAAGATAGATATTAACTATTCAACTCAATTCAAGTCTCATGGAAGGAAAACGAGAGCTTGGAGAAAACATTTTTGGACAGTTCTTAAAGTTAAAACAACGTTCTGTTAAAGAAATATTTAATTATGAAATATTCTTTCTATGTATGAAATGTTGTATCTATGAAATATTCTATTTATGAAATATTATATCTATGAAATGTTCTATCTATGGAATATTCTATCTATGTATGAAATGTTCTATCTATTAAATATTCTATTTATGAAATATTCCATCTATGAAATATTCTATCAATAAAATGCTCTATCTATGAAATATTCTATTTATGAAATATTCTATCTATGAAATATTCTATCAATGTAATGTTCTATCTATTAAATATTCTATGAAATATTCTATCTATAAAATGTCCTGTCCATGAAATGTACTATCTATAAAATATTTTATTTATGAAATATTCTATCTAAAAATGTTGTATCTATAAAATATTGTATCTATGAAATGTCCTGTCTGTTAAATGTATTATCTATGAAATATGCTGTCTAAGAAGTGTTCCATATGCTACGAAATATATCTATGAAAAGTGCTATCTATGAATTGTTTTATCTATGAAATATGCGATTTAAGAAATGTTCTATTTAAGAAATGTTCTATCTATAAAATGTTCTGTCTAACAATTATTTGCTATAAAAAGTAAAGGGTAAACATAAAAAGACAAAAACTTTTTAATCCTCAGACTACGTGAGTGAATGTATAAATAAATCAACTAATATTTATTTAGAATAATTATTTCTCTAACACTAGGTATGTAAATATACACCAGGGGTGTATACAGGCATCATACTAAAAATACGTTGAAAAAATATTTAGGGGGAGGGGGGGGGGGGGTTTACTTTTTGTCATTGGGAAAGATTTATCCCTGACAAGCAGTATATAAAAAAAACAAAAGATCGGAAAATGATAAATATTTATTGTTTATATTTCTTCTCTCCCAGCATCAATCATAAGAACTGAATAACATGAAGATTGAAGATGTATCATAGATCTCAGAACAGATAGAAATTATTCCATTTGGTCAGATCAGAGATATACACCCAGATAAATAGGTAATAGGATATACACAGTTACCCAGATTACTATTTTTTAGTATATGTTACACAGATAAATAGTTATTAGCATAGAGAATAGAATATATAGAGAGGAATTTACTGGAAAAAAGTGTAAAACGGTCATTTTGTTGTACTGTTTCCATACTGCAGGTGTACTTCACATATTTATGCTATATAACCTGTTGGGCCCTGGAATATCATTATATAGAAAATCTAAAATTATTGTTAAAAGAAATTACCAAATTATGAAATAGGTTGGTTTCAAAATTGACCAATGACCATTTCACATAGACTCTATGCCTTCCACTTTACAAACGATGATTTTCCGTTATAACTATAAATCAAATGATGTTTTTATTCACCTAATTCATTTTATAAAGTTTATTTAACAGCTTTAAAAAATTCGAAATTGAAATAGATAGCCCAGAGAACATACTGTATGAATGTACTCTACTGCATATAATTTGTGAACATTCACATGATTTGTACACTTTGAACTCCCTTTCAGACTGAAAGGGACTGAAAAAATTCATACCGAGAGATTCTTTTAATTCCTCTCTGTATATTCTATTCTCTATGGTTATTAGGAATTATAGTTACCCAGATAAATAGGTATTTGGATAAAAAGATATACAGTTATCCAAGTAAATAGGTATTAAGACATACATTTACCCAGATGAAAAGGTTTTAGTATAAACAGTTACCCAAATAAATAGGTTTTAGGATATACAGTTACCTAGATAAATATGTATTAGGATATACAGTTACCTTGATAAATAGGTATTAGAACATACAGTTACCCAGATAAATAGATATTAGTATATACAGTTTCCCAGATAAATAGGTATTAGAACATACAGCTACCCAGATAAATAGGTATTAGGATATGCAGTTATCCAGATAACTTTGTTTTAAGATGATGTACGGTAGAATAGGTACTTTCCCAAAGGATTTTTCCCAAGTGGCAACTTCCCAAGGATATTTTTCCAAGTGGTAACTTCCCAAATGTGCAATTTCCCAAGCGACAACTTCCCACCTCTGTCCTAGCCACAACGCTCGGTCCCCAACATGTTCTAGCTGCGGCGCTCGGTTCCAAGCAAGTTCTAGCCGCGGCACTTGGTCCCCAGCATGTTCTAGCCGTGGCACTCGGTCCCCAGCATGTTCTAGCCGCGACACTGAGTCCCCAGCATGTTCTAGCCTCGACACTCGGTCCTCAGCTTGTTCTAGCCGCGGCACTCGGCCCCCTAGAACCCATTTTACCCAGGTAAATGAAGATTTTTCGCATTTACTATTTTATACTTTTAGTTGGGCTTCGTATTCTAAATATTTAAGTAAATTTGACAGATTCTGAATTTAAGATCAAAATATGACTGAAAATATTCCACTACAGAGAGAAAGCTCTTCGTTTTAGTTTTACGTGGGCTTTAACGCTCAAATTTAGACCCAAGTATATAAGCCGCTGCATAGAAACAAGTTTCAGCTAGAATTGGTTTTATTTAAAACCAATCTGAATGTTGTTTGGAGTCTGATTGAGTCTTCAGTGCTGTAGGTTGTAAAGGATTTGAGTCTTTGCCACAAGTTTGATTTTCTAATCCCTATATCTTTGCAGCCCAATGTTGTACTTGTAGATTATAGATATTTCAAAATTATAAATTTTGTTAGATCAAAAAATCTAAGTTTAAAATATCAAAGGTTTACATCATGAGGTTGAAAACTAGAAAAATTGAGTTTGTGACAAAAACTAATTTCCTTTCATTAAAACTTTTTTGTTTTAATATTTTAAAACTCTAATAAAACTATTTGTAGCTTTAAGATTGTACATAAATGCAAGATAAACTAGCATTCAATATATAAATACTTTTTTTTGTAATTTTTGAATTTTCAAAGTTTACAAATCTAATATTTCTAATTTGATCATGTTTTATGATTGTTCTGTTTCATCAATATAAAACTATATGGTTAGACCCGACCAAGCAAAGAACTGAAATTAACTGAGGCTCGATCTTGAAGAGGAGTTATAAGAGCACTATTAAGTTACACACCATGCAAAGATGTTAATCCCTGATTCACAACAGTACCTACACTTGAAACGTTAATCTGATCAAAATGTGAAAATCACTTCTGATAATTTCACCGTTGCTTCATTCACCATAGTTTCCGTAGAAGTAAACTTTTCCATTTACTGATAGCGCTGATTAAATGATTCATATCTCTTATTGGATAATGAGATAGATAGAAAGATAGATGTTACCGCCACACTATTTCTATTGGTTCAGAATAGGCATCAAATATATGACTGAACCCTGATGGGATCAGGCGCTATTGGACGCGGCATACAGGAGTGCATTAAACAAGACACTTTTGTAGAGAACCCGCAAAATAAAAAAAAACAGGTTATAAAAACAATTAAACATGGATATTTAATTCACATTTGATAAGACAAAGCCATTAAAGGTACCGTTGTAAATCGGGCACTGCCATCTTTGCATGGAGAGTCACTTTAAATTACGCTTACAGTCCCTTTAAGAAAGATCTTAATTTTAAATCTCCGCTCTGGTCACACTAATCTCTACAAAATGTCTAAAATCTCATAATATCTAAAGTTTTACCTGTGAATTGAGATCAAACATAAACAAGGGTTTCCTAAAAAAAATAAAAAGTAAAATAAAAAAATTTCAAAATCTTTCGTAGCCGGCTTAAAGCTGGCCAATTATCGGGGAATCTCAGATGACCAATGTCCGATCAGGAAACAAAATGGTAATTTTAATTATATTTTCTTAATTAATCATATAATATTATAAAATTTCATTTTAGTTTTCTTATTTTATTAATACTTAATTATAAGGAATCCTTGTTATTATAATGTTATTTATTTAATTTTAGTTTTCTTAATACTTAATTATAAGGAAGCCTTGTTATATTGTTATTTATTATGATTTTAATTTTCAAAATACTTAATTACAAGGAAGCCTTGTTATGAGATAATATTATCTATTTTTATTTTTCATTTTCAAAATACTTAATTATAAGAAAACCTTGTTTTGATATAATGTTATTCATTTTTATTTTAATTTTCAAAATACTTACGTTGAGTTTTTGTCCCAAATTTTAACAATCCACTCTGCAGCACAGCTGATGAATATATTAGGAATAAAGGTATTCCATTGTATATTGTAAACTGGAGTATTATGCGCAGAATAACTGTTCAGAAATCTAAAGTAAAAAAACTAGATTTTTTAAACGAGTTCTTCAAACAGTAATAAGATTGACTGTGTATGTTTAGAAACAGTAAAGAAGTCGTCTTAAGATATAAACAGTAAAGAAGACGTTTTTAGATAATTTAAAACAGTAAAGAAGTCGTCTGTATATGTTTAGAAACAGTAAAGGAATATTTTTAGATATTTAGAAACAGTAAAGAACTTGTCTGTAGATATTTAGGAACAGTAAAGAAGTTGTTTTTATATTTTTAGAAACAGTATAGAAGTTGTATTTAGATGTTGAGAAACTGTAATGAATTTGCCTTTAGATATATAGAAACAGTAAAAAAGTTGTATTAAGATATTTAGAAACAGTAAAGAAGTTGTTTTTATCTATTTAAGATGTTATCTAAGAAAAACACTAATAGGTTAAAAAAAAACTCAATAATCAGAAATTGTACACTATATCCAGGAGTTGACACTTTAAGTTGATATACTGAACAATTCCTTAAATTAAGTAATATAATTACAAAGCATTTTTCTACATGTATTGGAATATAAACAAATATATTTATATAGAATCTTGATTACAGAACAATAGACTAATAATACTGTAGCCAGAAGTATCCCTGTATTCTCTATTCATGGCTAGGAATGGTTTTTGTTACGTTGATTACAGGATACTTTACTTTTATATTCTATATTTTATATTGATAATTGCAAATATTTCGTTTGTTATCTAACTCTAACATTAAAAAAACCATAAAAAGTACCTATTTGAATTAATATGATAATTATTACTATAACAATTGACATTAGTAATGAAGGTGAAAATTACAATACAAATAAGATAAAACCATAAAGGTAAAAAACCTACTTTTTTAAGCATTTCCTTTTTAACTTTAAAATGATAACATGATTTTTTGTTTTCAAATTAAAAAAGGTTTTGAGAGTTCTCTAATTTAATTGTGCGCGCAAAATTTCAAAATTTCTCGATTCTGATTGGCTATTCAAATTCTGCTCTAATCCCGATATCNTACAGAGGTAAATAATCCCTTCGTCTGTTCCAACAAGAAAACTGTTCTCATCATCAGGTTTGAACGCTATGGCTCGACCACTGTCTAAAATTAAGAAAAAATGTATCTTTAAAATTTGTCAAAACAGTTTGTGTCTGAGAGCTTGACGTTGTATAAAGACCATAAAAGCCCAAATACTCGGAAAAGTGATGTTATTTATTCTTTGTAGATTGTTTACCTTTGGTGAAAATGGGGTTATAACAAAGGACAAAGGTGAAAATGTGGTTATAACAAAGGACAAAGGTGAAAATGGGATTATAACAAAGGACAAAGCTTAAAATGGGATTATAACAAAGGTGAAAATGGGATTATAACAATGGTAAAAAATGGATAAGACTGTACACTTAGTTGCTTTTGGTGTATATTTATATATATATACCCTCCTGCCCCACTCTTTTTACCACTCTTCCCCCCTTTAAACCCTCCTCCCCCTCTCTATATACCCCTCCTCTTCCTCTCTTTATACCCTCCTCCCTCCTCTTTATAACCACCTTCCCCCCCCTATTTTTCAAGTTCGCAATATTCCCTTCCATAGTAAACATTCCATACCCCATTTGTTCTGATATATCTCTATTCCCACCCCACACTTCACATTTCTTATTTTTTCTTCATTTTCTTTAATTTTATTCTATTTTCCTCCCCTCTCCACCTCTGCCTATAATCCAACCCCCCTCGCCCCTCACCACCACCCCAACCCTTACTTCCTTCCAAAACTCCTAATTTCCTTCCGCAAACTGTAACACTCTAAGTCCCACTCTAAATTTTTACTCCGGCGCACTTCTTTTTTTGTGTCCCCTCTCCTCCCCTTTCCTCCGTATGTTGTCTCCCATCTCCCTCCGTTATCTAGAATTATGTGAGATGAAATCTTATTTTACGATGGATAGAAAGAGAAGAAACCAAACATAGATTAATAAATTCACAGAAGTATATAACAAGTCGCAATTCCTACGGTGTTGGTTTGATTAACCCTGAACCCACGCTTTACAAATAAATATTTCAGGGTTACCTACAGAATATAAGAATTCAGAGACGACTGTATCTAGGGCTGGGCAAGCTTCCAACTTTTTCTAGCCGCTTCATTAACGGTAAGTTCAAGTTCTGTTAAATATTAGAGGAAGCCGTTAGTTTTAGTTCTGTTTCGTGAAACGGTATTTTCCATTGTTTTAAAGTTACTGTTAGTTAACGATCTCAATATTCAGATTCAATCATTTTAACGTTGTTTAAAAAAATATATATTCAGGTTTTTATAAACGTTAATCGTTTTAAAAACGATAGAAAAACGATAGTTTTTTTCGAATGGGTTAATGATTGTTAAGGATCGTCGACAATTAAAAATTGCCTACCTTTGTTATCGAAACGAAAAACTAAAACTAAGAAATGACTTCTTCGTTTTTTAATTAAAAAAACGATTATATTTAAAAACAACCATTTCGTTTTTGTTTTTTTCTTCGTCGTTTCTAAAACAAAACGATCGTTTTTCAAATAAAAGTTAAAACGATCCATCCCTACTTGCACAGTGTACATCATATTCACCAGAAAAAAAGATCTGATATAATTGATGTATTTTGGCTAAAACTTTGTTTGAAGCATCTGAAGGTTCTGCATATTCTTTATATTAAATTCTCTATGGTTCTAGAGATTAGACAATCCGGAGAATAGGTTTCTCTAAAATGTCCTCTCCTCCTCTACCCTGCCCCAGGATACACCCAGGGAGTATACCAAGAAAACTGTTCAAACTTTTTCAAGATAAAAACAGGGTGACCCAGTTGCGATTTAGGATAGAAATAGGGTGACCCAGTTGCGATTTAGGATAGAAATAGGGTGACTCAGTTTAGATTCAGGATAAAGATAGCGTGACTCAGATTTGATTCAGGATATAAATAGGGTGACCCAGTTTCGATTAGGGTTTCCAGGGAAAAGGAAAAATCGTTTCGCGAAAAATCTTTTTTTCGCGGCCATTTCACTTTATTTTTGCATTTCGATCTCTCGCTAAAAAATGCAAAATTTTCGCGAAATAGAAAATGCGAAAATTTTGTAAAAAAAATAATGCGCGCAAATGTCGCGAACAAAATAATGCGAAGCGTTGAACTTATGTATTGGGGACGGACAGACAGAAATTTAAAAAGATAGCTATTGAAATTAAATTCTTTTCATCAAACATGTATTAAATTAAATGAAAAGAAACTATTTATATAACATAATAAAACTTCAAAAATTGAGCAGAGAATTCCACAAGTTATTTTGAGCAATTAAATGTTTTTCACGAAAATTTCGCATTTCTAATTTTTGTATTTTCGCATTTTTCGCAAATTTTCGCTCTGTTTTCGTTTCATTTATTTTCGCGAAAAAGCGTAAATTTCGTGAAAAAAATTGCGAAATGCGGCCGAAAATTTGTGCATCTTTTGATGAAACGTTTCGTTCGCTGTAAACCCTAGTTTCAATTCAGGATAAAAATAGGGTGACACAGTTTGGATTCAGGATAAAAACAGAGTGATTCAGTTTCAATTCAGGATAAAAATAGGTTGACTTAGTTTCAATTCAGGATAAAAATAGGTTGACTTAGTTTCAAATATATATAATCCCTTTATCTNTTTGATTCAGGATAAAAATAGGTTGACTTAGTTTCAATTCAGGATAAAAATAGGCTGATTAATTTATAATTTACACTAAAAAGGGTGATTTAGTTAATCATTTAAAAATTCAAGATAACACATGGTGATTCTTATATTAGTATAAAAGCAGGGTTTACAAGAATTCATCATTTTCAAATAAAACAAAGATTGGTGATTGATATAGTATCCCTGTATCCATTGTCTCCCTCTGTATTCTATATATTTACTATATCACTGTACCCTATGAATCCCTCTGTATTCTCTATATTTACTGTATCCCTGTACCCACTGTATCCCTCTGTATTATCTATATTTGCTGTATCCCTGTATCCACTGAATCCCTCTGCATTATCTATATTTACTGTATCCCTGTACCCACTGTATCCCTCTGTATTATCTATATTTGCTGTATCCCTGTACCCACTGTATCCCTCTGTATTATCTATATTTACTGTATCCCTGTATTCACTGTATCTTTCTGTATTATCTATATTTACTGTATCACTGTATCCACTGAATCCCTCTGTATTCTCTATATATGCTGTATCCCTGTATCCATTGTATCCCTCTGTATTCTCTATATTTACTGCATCCCTGTATCCATTGTATTCCTCTGTATTCTCTATATATAAGCTAGCTGTATCCCTGTATCTAGCCCTGTATTACACTAAGGTAAAAGAAAAACTTTATTTATCCCAAAATAAATGAAAAAAATATTTCTATTCATAATCATAATATATTCATTCAGAGCTCTAGATTGAGATTACATATTGGAAACATATCACACCGGACTAACCAGAGTGAGCAGCATTCGGTTTCTTCTATATTTGAAATCCAACGTGTTTTGGTCTTTAATCCGTTAACTTACGGATATGTTTATTCTATACTTTTTCATTCAAAATGTATATGCCGACAAAAAATATTTTAGAAAAAAGCTAAAAATTATGTTTAATGGGTCAAATTGTGATTGAAAGGCACAACTTTCTAGAATATTGACAGAACCGTTAAATCCACGTGATATTGGGAAACGATAAAAGTTTATTCTGCCCTCCCCCCAGCCAACAATATGACTATATACCCCCCCCCCCTCACACTTAAAACCCTGAACACCCTCTCCTTCGTCACACTTTCAAAACTTTAACGACTATTTATCTCCCTCCCAGCCTGATAACTATCTGACTCTCCCTGCCCAAATCCTCAAATGCTGAGAGGCCTTCAACTCCCTCAAATGCACTTTCCTAAAATGTTAAAAGGCATAACAGTCACAATTCCGGAACTTTTGAACTCCCCTGGCTTTACTCGTATAAATTTACTGGACTCTTTTTTGTACTTCTGGGCTTATTGGGATGTAATTAGAAGGGACCTCCACAACACGTGTCCCTCATCACCTCCATGATGAAGGTATTCAAATACATACCCAATGCGCACGTGATAAACGCCTGCACTTCACAGCCAAGGCAGAGGAGGTAGGCGATTTTATTAGATGAATATAAAACATAGTAATTCTCTAGTAAATTCTGATACTTGCAACTAATTTATGCAAGTTTTAGAATCATTTTCCAAAAATAAAAATATTTCTACAAAATTCGATTTTTATATTCAATAGACAGAAGTCTTTAGATTATAATTTACAAACTGTTTTTTTTCCTTTCAGGATAATTCCCAATTACAGAAGTTGGTCATGTACCGTAGTCGATGTTAAGTACTTTCCCAAGTGGCAACTTCCCAAGGGTATTTTCCATTTTCCAAGGGGGCAACTTCCCAAACGTACAAGCGACAACTTCCCAAGTCTGTCCTATCCGCAGCGCTCGGCCCATAGCATGCATTAGCCACAGCACTTGGCCTCATAGCTCATCCTAGCCGCAGCGCTTTGCCTTCCTTACTGCCTGCGGCAGCTCAGAAGGCCTAACATAACCTTTGTATATAGTCAGTATATCAGTACAGAATTTGAATATTGTATCCGGTACTAAAATGCTACACTTAGTAAAGAATGATCGGTGTATTCTTATTAATTACAGGATACTTCAGTCGTATGTTACCACAACTACTTCAGTAACTGAAGCTGTATTGATATACATCATAACCACTGTATCTTATTCCTATCCAACGATACTGACGAGGGAAGGGATGCAGGGTCTCCATGAGCCCCGCAAAATGTTCTCCAAGCTTCGTATTCACAGATGAGCATTAAAAATGACCTGGCGCTACACCTATACGTTAGAATAGATATTATAGAAGTAATAAATAACACTTTTTAAAGAAAATATCTAATTTTTAAATAGTTAAGTGCAGTGTTTTTTTACTACGAAAAACCGTTCCCTAACCATTAAATTATGATATATCATTTCTAGAAAAAATTCTACATTACTTCTTTAATATCTAATCTGAAGAATAGGGGTAGCGCCAGGTCATTTTAAATACTTATCTTCGAACCCAGAGGCTTAGAGATCATTTCGCGGGGCTCATGGCGTCCCTGCACCCCCTCCCTATACTGACCCATGAGTTGAGTTGTTATAGAGTCTTCTCCTAGATTGTGTAATGTTTTAGAGAAGTTGATGAGAAGTGTATCATTATACCATAGAGCTGTCTTCACTATTGTCCAGTTGGAAACTCGACCATCTCCAGAAACTGAATTACAAAGAGAATAGATGAGTATTTGAGTAGAATTAAGTCAAAAAAAGAAAAAAACGCCCTTTTGTTGTACTTTTTCCATACTGCAGTTGTACTTCACACATTTGTGGTATGTAAACTTTTGGGTCCTGGAACATCATTTCATAGAAAAAAAATCTTGACATTTTTTATTTTCTCTAAGTCAATTCTTTGACATCCTGTCATACATTCCCGAGTTCATTTCAGCATAAGCTTTACTTTACGTTACCGAGTTCATTTTAGTATACAAATATTGCCGCAAACTAAAAAAATTGAGAAATGTAAACCATGGGAACACCCAAGGTACTTATACAAGGAAAGTTAATTGCGGTCGTGTATACTCTGCGTACATATTGAAACCAGTTCTTTTTGGGCGGAATTTGTAAACAAGAATAGATGCATCAGTGTTCGTCTAGTATACTAGGAGGATTAAAGCATTTAATTTTGATAATTTTGAAAATTCACATAATAGTTTCCTATGACAAGAATATTTCATAGATTATTTTTGCGAAAATTGATTCCAACAACAACAACAACAACAACAAATAAATTTTAAAATTAGCAATGTTTCTGGTTGAGTTATTGATAACAATAAAATAAAATCATAAAAATTTAAAATTTGAAAATGACCTGAGTAGAAATTTAAATATCCATCCAGATTATCTTTTCCCCATTTCACCTAAATAATTTGATTTCAAATCTAAATTAAAGGCAAGCTCTATTTATAAAGTGGCATGTCATGCTGATTTAACAATTCTGTCCATGTCCCATTGAGCACTGACTTTTGTCCAATTTGACCAATTAAACATAATTTGTTCTCAATTCCTCTCCCTATGTTTAAAGATTGTTGAACTATAGACCAAAAATGCGAATGTATTTAAACTCCAAGGTGATGTCCAATTTTCAATACGGTACTGAGAGATCCAAACAGCTAATAAAGTTCTGCATCAAATATTAATAAGACTGGGTCGACTTTAAATTATCGTATTTCAATCTACATCTAGCGTTCAGAGAGAAACAACTAGGTATTACTAGGCGCTTCTGAAAGTATTCAGAGATACAGGGTGAGAGAGAGAAAACAGCAAACTAGAGAAACTTCAGTATATGTGGGGTATACACCCCTGCACACAAATGGAAAAGAAAACAACGGAACTACGAGTAACATTAAAGGCCTGCATTAATCTTTTACGCTGTATGAACCTGGAGAATGAAGGTTTTTTACCCAGCTGGATCCAGATTTAGCTACTGACAGCTTTAAATATACTCCTTAATAACAAGCCTGGTTAGCTGTTATTAAGTATCCAAACTGGTCTGAAAGACAGTAATTCTTTCGATTGAATCTGGTTCTATGTGTAGGCATCAAGGGAGCTCAGAACAGTCAGGTTCTTATACAGTTCTCTCCAGTTTCTTGCGGTTAGACAGAACCCTGTGTGGAATAAAACATGGCAGTACACCCTATTTGGGAGAAAAGAAAATGAATAAAAGGAGGGGTTTCTCTATGATTCTCTTTCCCCTTCCTCTTGCCAGAAACAAGGAAAATGAAAACATAGAAAGTAGAATCCTGATAGATTGTGAACCACGCACTATGATGACAGTTTATACTCTGCAGGCTGCAAGGAAAAGATTGCTGTAGACGAGGACGTATTCTACAGCAATGTCCAAGATATGAACTTACAAGAATCAAGAATTCTTTTTTCGAAAATATCCACTCCTTGTGTAACCTTTCTAATCCCATTTGTCATTATTAATGCAGAATTCTGACAAATTATCAAACTCGCTTAGCAGTGACTTTTATTTTTCAGCCTGTAAGAATAAAGAATAAATATGAGCTGGATGAAAAAGCTGCATCATCATTCCTCAACATAACTTAAGTCAGAGAAATTGGACATCTCTGCATGGAAAACAAAAAGCAATATGCATAATATTAGGTTGAAAGAAAATCCGAAATGTGTCAAAATGCATTTTACCCTAGTCTGCAAGGAATTAGAACACGCAGATCTGAAAGAGAGGAACAGAAAACAGATGTATGTCCGGCTAAAAAAAAGATAAAACAGGCAGAGAAAAAATTCACTGTTCTTTTCATTGCCAAACAAAATTGTATTTTAAAAATAAATTGTTGCAATTCGCAACTAATAGAAAAACATACAAACAATAAACTAGAAATATTTATCAAAATGTTTATACAAGCATTCAAAAAGAAATTCTGAAATTTCCTCATCTTTCATCAAAAGATATCAAACTAAAAAATTAAGTCAACTTTAGTTGATTAGATGAATTATTTTATCCTTTATTATGGAACCGAAATTTTGCCACAAATTTTCTATAAAAATCTATTTCAAACTTTTTAGATGATTATATGAAAGTTTGAAATATTTAAAGTCAACACCATTTAGTTGATAATGGGTTGAGAATATAGGAGATTTTGCCACAAACTCAAATTTTGTAATACCTATACTATTCAAAACTTATACATTTTGATATCGCAGAATCCATATTTTGAAATATCGAAGGTCTGCACCATTTCGTTTCAAAGATAAAGGTTTGAGAAAATTAGAGTTTATGGCATGCATGATGCAAGAACTCAATTCCTTCAGGAAGGCAAAAGCTGTAAGATGTCACTTTTCAGCTCTGGGGCAAATATTTAAATCAAAATAGGGGTATAATTATATTTTGAACATATTAGAACAAACCTGCCAAATAACCTCGGTATGTTTCCCATTTCTTGCATCTGATGTATAGCAAGGATTTCCTAAATATTAAATTATATTTATACATAATTATATATATTTAATTTGATAATTGTCAACGTTAAGATACATAGTTCTCACCCAAAGCTTCATAAAACGACCTAGGAAAATTAAAAATATTTTTTTTTTTCAAGATTAAGACATGATTCAAGTTGTTGTGTTCAGTTTTCAAGGGCTGTTAAGATATTTATGCATATGTATTATAAATGTTTATTTTAAAGCTTGAATTTTTTTTAAAACTAGTGAAAAAGTTTTTAATTCATAGGAAAAAAAAATACTAGAATATGGTTAATGTGTAAAGAATTCCTCCTAATTGAAGAAATGTATTTCAAGAGAATTAAGAGCTGAATATATATTTACAGAGTCATTGCAGATAGCAATTTAATTTGAAACAACTATAAATCACAGAAAATTCTAAAGTATTTTTAATCATAAATTATAAACTTTTTTTCTTTCTCAAGTTGATAAATTTTTTATTTGGTTTTATTAAATTAATTCAATGTCTAAAGTTAAGTTTACAATTTTTATAATTTAATATTTTACAAAATTACTAACAAACTAAGTTTTGAAAATCAAAAATATATATTGGAAAGATAAAGATTCTTGAGTGTGACAAGTGCAAACAGTTTTTAAGCTTTGGTTAACAAAATATGGGGAAGGAAAAAAGTTTTTAAAAATGTTAAAATTACACAGAAAATTCTGAAGTATTTTTAATTTTTCTTCTTCAGGTTGGTAAATTTTTTATTTGGATTTAAAAAGTTTTCTAACTTCCAATTTGTTAAAATAATCTAATGTTTTTTAACACTTCTAACAAACTAAGTTTTTGAAATAAAAAATAAGCGAAGGAAAAATTTGAAAAGGTATAAAAATGTACAAAAAAAATTTTTATGGAAAACTGACCAGTATTTTTTTGAAGATTGTATACAGCTATATTTCCATCGTGTAGCCCAGCTACAATCATGTGTGGATGCTGAACAGTAAAAAGAATTTTTCCTTTTCCAAGAATCGATGTTTACTAAATAATATCAAAAAACTTTTTTGCTAATTTTGGGGCAAAATTACAGCAGTACCATTTTTCTACTTAAATTTTTGAAATTTATTACATATTACTTAATTGTTCCAATAAAACCAAAGATGTCAAAAATATGAAGAATAGAAAATGAAAAATTGATAACAAAATTAGAATAATAATACAAATAAAAAGATAGGATAAAATAGAATTAAAAAAAAACTTAGCTAAGATAAATAATTAAAAGATAAGATGAAATAGAAAACGAAAATACTAAGAAAGATAAAAAAAAATTAAAAAAACCATAAAATCAAATTTAAAACAAGAAATACAAAAAAGATAAAGTTATTGATATAAATACTAAGAAAAGATAAAATTAATGGTAAAATGCAAAAATATGATAAAAATGCAGAAACAAGATAAAAAAACAAGCAAAATGGCACCTGAGGATGAATATCAACGCTCATAACTCCCGAAGGGGCCTGCTCAACAAGCAATCATTCAAACTTTTAGAAAACTTAAAGCTTCGACAGAACAAAATAAATAGTTTTTTTTTCTAGAAAATTTAACTAAATTAACACTTCAGAAGCAAACCAATCCATTAATTTTTGTTTCTGAAACTAAACCAAACTTTCTTCTGAAACCAAACCAAAGAAATCATTTTTTTCTCCAAATAAATCAATTATTTCTGAAACCTAGCCAAATAAATCTATTCTTCTGAAACCAAACCAAATAAATCTATTTCTTCTGAAACCAAACCAAATAAATCTATATGTTCTGAAACCGAACCAAAAAAATCTATTCTTCTAAAACCAAAAAAAATAAATCTATTCCTCTGAAACCAAACCAAATAAATATTTTCTTCTGAAACCAAACCAAATAAATCTATTTCTTCTGAAACCGAACCAAATACATCTTTTCTGCTGAAACCAAATCAACTAAATCAATTTTATCTGAAACCAAACCGAACAAACCTATTTCGATGAAACCTTACCAAATAAATATATATTCTTTTGAAATCAAACCAAATAAATTTATTCTGCTAAAACCAAACCAAATAAATCTATTTTGCTAAAACCAAACCAAATAAATCAATTCTACTGAAACCAAACCAAATAAATCCTTGTTTTCTAGTTGTGTGATTGTTCCCCTGGCACAGATATTCTGGGAAGGAAGGATTCTTTAGAGAAAATACGCAGATAACGCCGGGAACAGACTGCTCATAAAAATTATCTAAACCACACACTTATTAGAAATGTCTAACAACGTTTCAGTTATTTAGAAAAATATTAGCGGAATGATTTTACAAAAAACAGACAAGTTTTAAATATTTCTAACATTTCATAACATTATTGTTTGAATGTATACCCTTTAAACCTTGAACTGAGTAAGAATAATAAAAAATTTAACGATTTTTTACTATATTTTATAAAAACAAATTCTTGCTCATTCTCTTTAAAAACACAAAATTTACAGTTTTCCTGTTGGAAAAAATAAAAAATATTCACGCTTTTTAGACAAAGGGAACTGTTGTTAATCGTAAATGTTACTTTAAATATATAAAAGTTATTTACATGATCCCATCCCAGCAACAAATAGATCACTGTAGGCAGGATTCCAGCACAAAGAGGTGATCTCTAGCTTCTAAAAGTAAATAAATTGAAGAAACAAAAAGGAAGAAAAAAAATCAAAAACGAATTTGATGCCTCCATGATAAATATTTCTGTGGAAAAGAAATAGAACCTTTTCTTGAAAAATAAATTAATCTGCAATGATATAAAACTGATAAACGGGGGAGTAAGCGTAATTTTAAATGAAGCTTCGTTCAGAATCATTATTGCACTCTAATATTCTCAGGCTCAAGAACCCCTTTGGCAGTTGGATTCTTGTCAGCCCTATTCTCAGTATAAATGAAGTGTAGATGGATAAATGTGCTTCCTGATTACAACCCCTGGTGGATCAATAAAAACCCCAACACCACAAAACTTTCGCAATAGAAAATTTTTGAGATTTGATTGTTACAACCCGATCATGTCCAGGGGACAACAAAATCTTTTATAAAAGTTACATCAATAATTTAACAATTTAAGTAACTATTAGTTACTTAATTATTCAATAATAAGGATCTATTAATTTAATAATCTATATAATTATGTTTGCTATTGCTGGCCAAACGGCTGAACCAAATTGGCGGAAGATTTTTGAGGAAACCCATGGGTACCCTGGGGGCAACATAGGCTAACAGTGGTTGTTATTCAAAATTGATTTTTTTAAATTGAATTTTTTTAAAGTGCTCTATTGGCAACGCCGGGCAGTTCAGCTAGTAATTCAATAAAATAAAATTTTATCAATGGATTGTGGAAGACGATGCCTGGCCGCGTTAAACAAGTTCCACAAGATTCAACAGAATGAGATAGAACGGATACGGGGCATAGTACTGATAGATCATCTACACGTGTGATATCGATATTGACTCTAGTTCTGAACCCTCTAGTAATAAGTTATAAGAAATATATATACTGGAAGTTATATACGCGTTTTATTAGAGTCTGACTCACGTCCTCTATAGGATCTTTAATTATGATTAATTATATTTACTTTTGCTTTCTCATATTCAAACTTCCAGAGAGGGAGAAGGGTTCCTTCAACTTCCTTGAACTCATCCGAAGCATCCTCGTAAAACCGGAAATCTAAAAATTAACAGATTTTATTTTTGAGGAAATATATCACACCTAATATATACTGTTGGAGGGTGATAAAGTGAATTTTTCGCCCTACAACAGGGCGAAAAAGTAACTTTATCACCGTCCTATAAAAACCGAACGTTCTAGAAAAAAAAAATTCCGTTAAAACTTTTTCGCACTTAATAATACCCATTACAATAACATAAGCATATTTTAAAATCGCAGAAGTCGAATAAAGAGCAAATTTTAAAAACTCGTCAGAGGAAAGCAAACAGAAGATGAAATGTTTGTAAAAAAAGCTGCCGCTGCTGCAGCTTAATCTATGACAAACAGCTGAATATCTCTTATTGATCAGCGCAGACTTTTGTGGATTCTGATTGGCCGATCTTTTTCAGAGATACAGATTAGACCTTTCGGAAGGAATTAACGATTCAAAAGTTTCGATCCTAGGAAAATATCTTTAGTGTTTTTAAAGACTAAACTTTAAGTTATCGGCTTGATTTCATAATTAATACAATAATACATATGATCAGTCACTTTTACTTTTTACAATGCAAAGCTAAACTAATAATTATATTTTGCAAAATGTTAACGAAAATTTTCGCATTTTCCGCGTTTTTTTCGCTAAAGTTTTTGTTCGCTGGAAACACTACCTATTGCGGCCGCTCAGTTTCAACTTATTTGGCGCGGCCAGACTTTTTACGATACATGGCCTATAATATAGGCCTATTTGATCGATACATGGCCTATAATATAGGCCTATTTGAACGATACATGGCCTATAATATAGGCCTATTTGAACGATACATGGCCTATAATATAGGCCTATTTGACCAACCCCACAAGCTTAGTTTCGTGTGATACTAATACCTTGTGCAATATCATCATATGTATTTTGATTAACCATTCTTTCAAGTATTCTTGCTGCTCGGATCATTCTCTTGTTTATTTCTTGGTTTAGGTTCTCCTTTGTATTCTCTATCATTCGGCGTCTTTTAATCTATTTAAAGGGACTGTTAGCGTAATTTCAAGTGACCCTCCATGAAAATGTTAGTAATGTCCGATTTACAATGGCGCACTTTAAAAAAAGTGTTTATTTCTGTAAATATATATTAGGAAGGAATGCGCAAATATTCTTTTAAAGAGAAACTGCAAATGAAAAAAGAAGAGTTTACAGAAGAGAATACATATATAATTCATAGTTAAATCAGACAAAGCTTTCAAAGTACCGTTGTAAACCGGGCTTTGCCATCTTTGCATGGAGGGTCACTTGAACATACAGGGTGTCCCACATCAAATTAGACCGCGTCAATGGGTCTAAATTACGATTTGGGGGACAAATCAGAAAATTTAAGAAGAATGAATCATTTTGAAAAATTTAATACGGCTAATAGAATTTTTTTTTTGGCAGAAAATGCTAGATTTTTTGAGTATAATGTGCGTATTTAGGTGTTAAAGATTGGAGATAATCTAATATGATATGGGACGCTCTGTATGTACACAGCATACTTCATGTGAACCTTTATTTCTAGGAGTTAGATACCCGATATTTTTATCAGGTTCTCTTCACAGGTGAATTGCAGGTTTATATTGCACAGGCAAAGGCCAGAAACTATCTGTTTAAATACATTGGTTTCCCATAAAATTAAGGTTGGGACTTCAGAGACGATTGAAAGATATTTCTACTGTCTGTTTCCTTATACTCATGATTCCCTGCAACTGTATATCTATTGGGTCCGTCCCAGAGAACGATTTTTGGTAATAGTTAAATGTCAATTTTTAAATGCGATAATACTCCTATAAATTTTGTACATGACTACTTATTTTTCAGCAAAGAATATTATTATTTTCTTTTAATTATTTTAGGTAAGGTTAAGTTAAGATAATTTCTGGGCCATTCGCTGCGGCTAGGACAGGCTAGGGGGCCTTTTGCTGCGGCCACATGCTCAATTATAGTCATATGAGATCCATGTACAAAATTGATATATGGAGGGGTGGGGGCCGGGGGCGGTGGGGTCCAAAAACCGTTCTCTAGGAAATTACCTATCCATTTCTGTTTTACTTAATCATAAAATATTAAAAAGCTTTTAAAGGCAGAAGACTTAATTTGACCTCGGGATCGTCATATTTTAAGAGTTTTTGGTCGTCTTCACATTCTCATCCTTTTTGAGCAACCCTGTACCTGTAACTTTTAAAATGGAGGGTTCATGGGCTCCTGAGTTATTTGAAATTACATCAACAGTTAAATAAAGAATACACCATTCTAGAACTAAATAAAATGTTATTCCTTTGTTCAATCACAAAAACAATTATGCCTTCGATCAGAGTTAGAATTTTGGATTTGAAAATAGAAATACTTTTATGAAATATATATCTACATGGTTTAATTAAAACAAATTTGAGTAATGTAAATTAATAGATGTATTTTACTGTTTGTATTTAGCACATTAGCTTGTGATATATACAGAAATTTACAGATTGAGCTGAGCTGAAAACGCTGCTTTCTGTATATATAACTCCGAAAATCACATCTGAAGAGAAACACAAATTGAAGAAAAAAAATTCAGCTAAATAAACAGAGTACCTTAGTCATAATCAGCAAAAGGATGGATTAATAAAATAACAGCTAGATAGGACTCTAGATCACTCTATCCCCGTAGTAAATTTGAATTCGAACAGGACCTGCCCAGTTTGTACCGGCCTGCCAGATAACAGCGTGTACTGACCCGATCCTATGGTACAGTACGTTGCCCTAACCAGACTAACATATGACAGGGGTCAATTTTCTTGGCATAGTCCCGTACGAGGGCTAACTATGACTCCAATGGCGCGTTCAGACTTTTTACAGTACCCGGCCTAATCCTAGTCCTATTTGACCGACCCCACTGGATTAGTCCAACGTGAGATGTCTTCTTTTCAAGATTTAGGTGAAACTCGTTCAAATTAGCCCTGAGGCAGACACCCAGAGGAATTTCGCGCAGTCGTCGTAGAACATGATCTCTGTCTTGTAATTCTACACAATTCATTGAAATCTTGAAAATACGACATCTAGTGTCCTACTCCTATCTGCTATTTTAATTAATCTATGAGTAAAAGGCTCAATAGGTATACCATTGCAATTCATAAATAAATGGAGGATCACTTAGAATTAATTGTACATATACCTTTCTAACAGTGAGTAATGAAAAGATACGAATAATATCTATGAAAATAAACTGAATGTACGTACTAAGCCGTGCAATCTGTTTATTTGATAATCTCTGCTTGAAGTGATTAAATATTTAATTAGAAAAGAGTGAGTGCTAATATATCTAGATTATATATCTAGAGCTTTTAAATACAGGAATAAATTAAAGGGAATTTATCTTGCTTAAATAGGGACTGAATTCAGTTTTTACTCATTCAAACATATAATGGTGATTTTGCCAGAATTAATAGCTTTATTGGAATTTTTTAAAAAGCCCTTGTCTAATCAGTTTTACAAGTGCGAGATGCCGATGCGGTTGATTTTGTTCTTATTTACAAATCTTGAAACTTTCTATTTATAATTTTTCATTTAAAACGCATATAGCGACAAAAAAAATACAAATGAAAAAAGCAATTTTTTTTGTTTAATAGGTCAAATTGTTATCAAAAGTCACAGCATGCTGGGATGCGTACAGAACTGATAAATCTGCGCTTGAAATATTTCACATTAAGAGATTAAGAATCACTGAAAATGTTCCAATTTGTTTGAATGAACGTGTGCACAAAAGTTCGCAGGATTAAAACTTACAAGGCAATTATAGCTTCTTAATTTTCTGATTTAAGCTAAAAACTATAGAACTCCCTACAAGAGGAAATTAGACTAAGCAGAAAATTATAGATATTCAGGCCGGCATACGTATCCCTAAGGTAAGCGTAGTTGAACTGCCTAGCCTACATTAAGTTAAATCGCTTCTCTTGAACTTGAATCACAAGTATAATAGTTCAACTTAGTCCTATACATTATAGTTTTCTCTATTAATAAATTTGGTCCTTGAACAATTATTAAAGGGACTGTAGCGTAATTTCAAGTGATTTACCATTTTTAAAGTGGCATGCCGATTTTCAAGGATTTTTGTAGATATTTTATTTTTATGGCGGGAAATTGAGTGCCAAGAAACCCCGCGAGTGTCCGGACAAAGGTATTAAGAGTGCCGTTGTGAATCGGACATGCCTCTCTATAAATTGAAGGTCACTTGAAATTACGCGTACAGTCCCTTTAAGTTTCACCTTGTTCTCTTTTTGATCCTTTTTATTCTCCTTCTCTTCCGCCAGTTCTTTAGCTGTCTCATATATGACATAGTTATCATAGATCAACCATTGGTTCACCGTCTCAGAGTAGTTTCCACGTGCTGGTGGGGCGGTCTGCATCTCAGTATTCTTAAATCAAAAACAATCTATATGATAAAGCTCCTCGCCCATATATATGTCAGCTATAGCTGGCAAACTGCAGGGCCTAATGGACTGAATTTTTTTCTTCCAGGGGTAACACATGCTGAAAACGACTTTTTCAAGATGGTTAAAAATTTTAAAACCTTTTAAGGGCAACGCCGGGCACTTCAGATAGTAGTAAATACTCATGTTTGTTCATTCAGAAAATTTAAAATATATATAAATGTTTTGGAAAAATATTGAAACGGTATTTTCATTAGAAGTACGACAGGAAAATCTGGTGGTTTAAATTATACATTTCATAAAGTTCGTCAAAGGTTAAACATTTCAAGTTAATGAATTCATAACATTTTTTAACTTTCTGAGAAAAATTATGCAATTTTTCCTATTTGCCACTATTTTTAAGGTGACAGCACTGCTCCATTAGTTCAGCTTTTGGTTTAGATGTTTTGCATTATTTAAGTTATATAATAAAAAGCTTTCCGAAGTGTAAATACATGGTGTCCCAATAAACATGGGAACCCAGAGACGACTTCAAGATCGCCTTTGATTTCTGATGATTGATAGATGACCATAAAGTTCATCAAAAAAAAAATTTTAATTCTTATGCACTTTCCAAAATGTGGTCGACCTTGTATCTTTAAAATTGATGGAGGTACTGAAAATTGGAACAGTTTTGTTCATTTTTAATAAACTCCGCCAATTTTGGAGATGAAAAAAGTGGACCTCATTTTAGAAATCCCGACACCAGAACTTTTCGGTGTTAAATATTTCAATTGTGATACTAAAAAATTATGTTAACAAAATAATCCAGCATGACAAAAGACGATATAAAAGTCGTCATTTATTTCCCATTTTTATTGGGACACCCCGTATTTTAATTTAGTGATTACAATTAACCTTTATTTTGGTTCCAGTTTGCGTGTTTTTAATTTATATTATTTAGCAGTAATTGTTTAGTATTTGCAGATATTTAACATCTTTTTGTTAGATATGTTTAACAGTTTATATATGTTTTGTCAATTACCTTTAACGAATTGTTCATAGTTTGTGTAGCTCTCTCGACGAATGAAAACTGGTTTGTTAACTTCACATCTCCATTGTCTGATCCCTTCAATGAATAAATTATAAACCCTTTAAACCTGTAGTCCAGCAACAATGATAAAATTTTTTAAAATTCTAGTTCTAAAATTCTCTAAAAAAATGCTTTTATGCAGCAGAGACAAAACATAATTTACACAATTCAACACCGGTTAAGATAGAAAAACAACGATATCTCTCTCAATATTGCTCAGCTGAACGCCAGATTCAAATGAAGCTAATTTGTGAATCTGGCGTTAAACTCTCTTTAACTTAAGGGTCACACATCGATATTCCCTTTAATCAGCAGCTCTAGATTATCCATTCACCTTATAAACATTATTTAGTTGTTTTGACATAAAAATATTCAAGAAATCACTATAGGGATTACTCACCAGTATACATAGTGTCTCAATAAACATGGGATTTGAGCGACGAATTCGAAATTGTCTTTGTTAAGAGTTAGCGTTGTGTTACCTAATTTTATTGCTCAAAGTAAAGTTACGTCTGCTAGAGTATATTTTAGGTAATCGTTACTATTTATACAAACGTTTAAAGATTGTTTTGTTATTCTGTAAAACGTTGCATGATGTTCTGTAATATTTATGGAAGAACAGTAAAGTGAACAACTGCACAGTGCTGTGTTTATATGATAGTTCAACAGTATGCAATCAAAACTCAATTTCCATGTTAATTGAGACACCCTGTAGCATAACTCGAAAATTTCTTTAACCTTATTTTTAAGAAATTATTTTTTTTTTGGTGTTTAACATTTGTAATCTAAAAATATTGTATGAAAAAGAAACCTCTGAGCCTCCAGAATCTCTTCTTTTCTTGTCCTTCTTCTTCTTCTGCAAAAATATACATTTGTTCTTTTTTTACAAAAGTAATTTTTCCTGTTACATTAAATCTGGACAGAAGTATAGATTTTTCAAACAATTTGATATCATGTGAATTACAAAGTTTTTAGTTAGTTAGGTTTTGTAAAAATTTTATATCTATCTACAGGGTGTCCCACAAAACATGACAGTTGGTAAATAGTTTAGAATGTCTTTTTCCATAATTTCTTAAGTTGTTTAATACCAAAGACAATAATGAAAATATTATGTAGGAGTCATATTATAGTAAAATTAACTTCAAAGTAAATATAATTGAGCAAAAGATTCTTGAAACGAAATAAACTGCAAACAGCCTTCAATATCTAATACAGTGGATGGAAGACGACATTTAAAACTATTTACCAACTGTCATATTTCGTGGGACACCCTGTATATACTTTGATCGTCTGTCTTTCAGTAAAAGCGGTTGAACCGATCGGACCCACATTTTTTATTGGAACGTGCGTGACCCCAGGGAAGGTTTATGGATGATTGAGTTTTCAAAAATTTGCCTACATCAAAATTCTATTTTTGATAGTTTTTAAATCTACGAAATTTTAGTTTGTTTTCGTTTTACAATATACACAAAGAGAAAATGTTCAGAATTGAAATGAATAATGGGCGCGAAGCCCCCTAAAAGCCTAGTAAGTATATGTGTTAGCCATAGCAAATAGCTAGTTAGTGTGATTGATTTACAAAAACAATATTGACATATAAAAGGATAGCAAGTAAATTAGGTCGAGAATCTCATTTTAGAAAAAAAACTGTTCTTTCAAAAACTACCATTTAGAAGTGTGCCATTTTGTGAAATTTTTCTAAAATCATGTTACATAAGCAAAAATGTGTTGTCGTGTAATTTTTAATGCATAATTTTAAAATGCACTTTTTACAAAAAATGGGTATAAATAAATTAAATATTATACATTGGGCAAGCTATGGTCAAAAAAGTTTTTTCTCTATCTAAATATTTGTTAATACTGAAAAAATGTGTATTTTTGCTTTAAGTCGGTCAATTTTTAATATTTTTATATTCTGTAATTTGATTTAAATTTGGGAAAACAACCCAGTTTCAAAAATACCCACGCATTGAATATCTGTTTAACATTTTAACTTTCATTTGTATTAGTGTTTTTTACATTTTTTATCATTACAATTCATTTCTGATTTTTGTAAACATTTCATTTCTAAAACATGCCAATAAGAATTCTAAATAGTAGAAAATTTTGCTTCTGCAAAATTTCTTAAAAATGTTACAAAATTTCGTTTTGGTGTCGCTGTAATGTTACTAAAACTATATTGTGTTTCAATACTGAAATCATGATAAACTTAATTCTTAAAATAGACCATAATCGTATTCAAATACTTACAGCGTCGGTTAAAACTTAAAATCTGCAGTAAACTTTTTAAATCAGTCTCTAGAAAAGGGGGGTCAAAAGATACGCTTAAACCCTTCACCCCCCCCCTGTATATCCGCGTCTGGTTGCTGCATGTTCACTGAATACAAATATTGCAATAAAAAATATTCAAATTCGTCCAGACAATTGCGAATTGACGATTCGCGTGGAGAAATAACCGTAAGGCCCCCAAAAAATATTTTGCAAAATTTCATGCTTTACATTATTTTTTTTTTGGAAATTTTATTATTATTTCAAATAATTAAAGTGATTTAAATAAAAAATGAAAATTGAATGAGTTAGAATAAAAAAACTCATCAAAACTTTAAAAAGTTAAAAAACTGATTTTTGGCTATAACTTTTTCAATTTTAATATTTTTAAAAACGCTTTTCAGATTTGAATTCAGCATAAAATTTCCAAGAAATGTTGTAAAGCATGACATTTAAAAACATATTTGGGGTCCTTGCCCAACGCTGATTTCTCCGATATCAAATCGTCAATTCACAACCGTATTGACGATTTTGAAACTTTTTTATCGCAATTTTTTCATTAAGTGTAAGCGCAGCAACCCCCGTTGGGTGCTTGGCTTAGTTTCAATATTGATCGCTCTTAATAGCTAGGGTTTCAAGCGAAAAGGGTAAATGGTTTCTTCGAAAATTTCGCATTTTGTTTGCTCCAGAAAATTTCGCGAAATTTGAGTTTACTTCATCTTTCCGCAGAAAAAAATGAGAAAATGTTGGGAAAAACTGCTAAAATTTAGAAAAAAATACGGAAAAGAAATTATTTATAAAATAAAACTTCTAATGCTGAGCTCTCTAATGTGCAATTAATTGTTGCAGTTACAACACTTCTGGTTTTCGCGGAATTTCTTTTTCAAGAAAAGTATTTTAGCAAAATTTCCCGAAATACGAGAGAATTTGTTTGCATTTTTTTCATGAAAGTTTTTTTTTTCGCTGGAAATCCTAGGCCTAAGGTATGGCTGGACCAACTTGGCTGATTTTTTTGGGTACTCTGGAGGTAACAGGATAAAAAATAGATTTTTAAGTTTGAAATTCTAATTTTTCCAAGTGTGTTTTTAGATGTTTAGAGTAACCTTTTCTTTTAGTTTAACGTCGTTATCAATAGTCACATCCTCTTCTTCGCTGTTATTTCCTGAAAAATATATTCCATGAGATGGATATTAACCAGAGACCAGAGGCCGACTTTGAAGAATTAAAACTGTCGCTGATCCATCAAAAACCGGTTTCAAATGAGAGTCGGCAAATCTCGAAACAATTAATACAATTTAAAAGTGGAACTAACCATGTTTAAACCGCGTTTCTTATTTGAGCAAACTCAAATTTATAATATACTTCAAGAAGTAGATGAACCAGTTACCACCAGTTCAACCAGTTCTCTTGTACGGAAGTTAAAGACAAGTGGTTCAATTTACTCTACGTAGTTCAACATATACGTCTTATATACATTAAATCTGATTCAGATTAAAATTGTTTTATTAAAAAATAAGATAAAAGATATTTAGCAAGCAATATGTTGAGTTGTTGAACTGAGCCCGCGATATAAAAGCTTCTGCTCAAGTCGTAATTCCTTAAACCCAGGTTTAAGGCTCAATCTTAGACCCAACTATGACGACAGCTTGTGTCACGTGATTGCTTGATTGATCGAATTACGGAGTTAGGCCCAATGCAAATAAAACCGACCATGGTTGGTTTAAGTAGGGAATTAGTCTCATAGTTGAGTCTTATTCTAGTCAAATCCCGGAATCCCCCAATTTTAACCATAGAAACCCCACAAATACAATTTTAAACCGGTTTTTATAAACTCAACTCTGTGAAATATAAGTTGCAACTTATCTCAAGACTCAAACCGTAAATAAGCCCTTAATGATAGCTTAAACTGAGTTGATCTGATTGATTTTTTCTTTCAAGGGAACAATGAAAGTGTACCTGACTTTAATGTCTGCCCTCTTGATCCTTTCCTGGAAGAGGAGTTATCTAAAAGAAATAAAACAATTATTTGGCAGTTTTCTAGAACCAATAATTTCAATACATTTTATTAAAATATTACCAAAACATCGTAGGAGAATTCAGACATACTCAAAAGGGCGTATACAGTCAAACTACAAACTGTTAAATCAGTCAAATTACAAACTGTTTAATTAGTAAAAATAAAAACAGTTAAATCAGTTAAACTAAAAACCGTTAACAGCCCTTGGACATACTGTTACAATTTAAAAGCCTCTCTCCATGCTTACAATACAATTACTTTTTAATGATTAAAGTTCCCATAAAAAAATCTTAAACATCTTTACAACAAATTAAGAAAGTTTTTGTAAGTTGAAAATCTTTTTATGTTTCTTTCAGCTAAATTAGTCAAATTACAAACATTTAGATCAGTCAAATTGCCTACAGTTAAATCAATTTAACTATAGATCCTTAAGTCAGTCAAATTTCAAACTGTTTAATCAGTTAAATTACAAACCGGTAAATCAGTAAAGCTGCAAACCGATAATTCAGTCAAACTACAAACTGTTAAATCAGTCAAATTACAAACTGTTTAATTAGTAAAAATAAAAACAGTTAAATCAGTTAAACTAAAAACCGTCAACTCAGTATAACTACTAACCGTTAAATCAGCCAAGCTACAAAATGTTAAATCAGTCATATTAAAACTGTTAAATCGGTCAAATTAAAAACTGTTAAATCAGTCAAATTACAAACAGTTAAATCATTCAAACTACAAACCATTAAATCAGTAAAATTACAAACCATTAGATCAGTCATACTTCAAACCGTTAAATCAGTCAAACTACAAACCATTAAATCAGTCAAACTACAAACTATTAAATCAGTCACATTACAAACCGTTAAATCAGTCAAATTACTCAAACTGTTAAATCAGTCAAACTACTAACTGGTAAATCAGTCAAACTACAAACCGTTAAATCAGGCAAACTACAAACCGTCATATTACAAACCATCAAATCAGTAAAAATTGCAAACTGTTAAATCAGTCAAGTTACAAACCGTTAAATCAGTCAAATTGCAAACCATTAAAATAGTCTAACAACAACCCCTTAAATCAGTCAAACTACAAACCGTTAAATCAGTCAAACTACAGACCGTTAAATCAGTCAAATCACAAACCGTTGAATCAGTCAAATCACAAACCGTTAAATCAGTCAAACTAAAAACCATTAAATCAGTCAAACTACAAACTGTTAAATCAGTCAAACTACAAACCGTTGAATTAGTCAACCTACAAACTGTTAAATCAGTCAAATAAGCTAATTAAGTTTTAGTCATTTTAGTTGTTTTATATAACAATTATTCACATGATATACAGCTAGGTTTTTCGCATTTAAACCTCTCATAATTCTCAAGGTACATGTTGATTTCTCTTTGTTTAAACATTTTTGCAGATTTAGTTTCTATAAGGTCAATTTCAATTTCATTCCAATTTAGGAAACATTGCGGACGGAAAGCTTTCTAAATCTTTGTTTAAAACCCGTTCTAATTTACATGATTTGTTCTATTCGGTTCAGCTAAAGGCTTAAACATATTTTGGAAGGAAGAGGGAAGGTTATCATAGTATCCATGCATAAGTGTAAGAACACAAAGTTTGTATGTATCATCAAGATTAAGAACTTTCAGTTTTGAAAATAATAGATTTGAATGTGCCTTGAAAGTACTATTACTAACCGCTCTGATTGCTGCCTTTTTTTTGCAAAAATCTGATTTTTTGCAGTTAACCCTATTCCTGCTGACCCCTCCTGTAGTTTTTTTTACATAACTCAAAAAGTACCAAGCCAAACATGTTTCAGAGAAAATAACCCAAACATGTTCTTGTATAAAAAACCAGACGATAAATACCTAACAAATCAAATCATGTCATCAGTACTAAACCATTTAATNAATATAGATTAACCTGAACTAGAATAGAATACAGATTAACCTGGACTAGAATAGAAAACCGATTAACATGGACTAGAATAGAATATAGATTAACCTGAACTGTAATAGAATACAGATTAACCTGGACTAGAATAGAATATAGATTAACCTGGACTAGAATAGAATACAGATTAACCTGGACTAGAATATAATACAGATTAACCTGAACTAGAATTGAATACAGATAAACCTGGACTAGAATAGAATATAGATTAACCTAGACTAGAATAGAATATAAATTAACTATAGAATACAGGTTAACTATAGAATACAGGTTAACATGGACTAGAATATAATACAGATTAACCTGGACTAGAATAGAATATAGATTAACCTGGACTATAATAGAATACAGGTTAACATGGACTAGAATATAATACAGAATAACCTGGACTAGAAAAGAATATAGATTAACCTGGACTAGAATAGAAAACAGATAAACCTGGACTAGAATAGAATATCGATTAACCTAGACTAGAATAGAATATAGATTAACCTGGACTAGAATAGAATACAGGTTAGCATGGACTAGAATATAATACAGAATAACCTGGACTAGAATAGAATACCGATTAACCTGAACTAGAATAGAATATAGATTAACCTGGACTAGAATAGAATATAGATTAACCTGGACTAGAATATAATAAAGAATAACCTGGACTAGAATAGAATACCGATTAACCTGGACTAGAATAGAATATAGATTAACCTGAACTAGAATAGAATACAGATTAACCTGGACTAGAATAGAATATAGATTAACCTGGACTAGAATATTATATAGATTGATCTGGAGTAGAATAGAATACAGATAAACCTGGACTAGAATAGAATACAGATTAACCTGGACTAGAATAGAATATAGATTGACCTGGACTAGAATAGAATATAGATTAACCTGGACTAGAATAGAATACAGATAAACCTGGACAAGAATAGAATACAGATTAACCTGGACTAGAACAGAATATAGATTGACCTGGACTAGAATAGAATATAGATTAACCTGGACTAGAATAGAATATAGATTAACCTGGACTAGAATAGAATATAGATTAACCTGGACTAGAATAGAATATAGATTAACCTAACCTAGAATAGAATATAGAATAACCTGGACTATGAGAATCTTGGCGCTGTCTCTTTGCTTCCTCACTATCCCTAAAATATCAAGCTCACAATTTATGTTCCTTAATTCAAAGTATTATCGAACTATACTTTTTCAGTCGACAAATTCAACTTAGATTTATAAACTATTTAAGGCATATTGGCACGGGGGTTCGATAGTTATTATTGCAGTGTAGATAAATAAAAAACGAGCAGAGAACACCACTTTTGCTGCAAAAGGGATTTAAAAGCGACCGTAGACGTAATTTCAAGATCCTCATCATTATCAAATGATTTATCATTGTTTTTTCTATCATTGCGGAACTAGGAAAAAATATCTATTTCTAGACGGACAAAGACGATATATATTTAAAATTAGGGTAGTGAGGAAATATAACGCTCTGAATTGAGAATCACAAGAATTGATGAGAACAGTCTCTTGAAAATGTAAATATAAGCGTTAACTACAATCTTTTCTATCTAATTTGATCCTATTGTACAGTATCTTCTTTATCTATGATTAAATTGGCAGGATTAGATAATTAGAAGAAGCTTACTTGTGAATTACTTTACTCTCAATCTCAAGATGATCAATCATCCATTCTCTAAACAGAAATAAACCATGTTCAGCTCAGGGTTGTATATTTTTAAGAATCACTCTCTCCTTTTTTTTGGGTGGGGGGGGGGGCCAATTTTTGGAGATCTGAGATCAGGAGATCAGGGCTGTATATTTTTAAGAATCACTCTCTCTTTTTTTTTTTTTGGGGGGGGGGGGGTTAATTTTTGGAGATGAGAAATTTTGACATTAAAAGCAAGTTTTTTTTTTCTTTTTCATACTTTTAACACAAAAACTGTAAAAAACTTTAAAACTTGGATTTTTTTAGAAAGGTTTGGCGTAGACCAAAATGAAATTGTGCTCTAAATATTCTAAAATGTACATGTCCAGGGCTACAAAAAAAATGTATTATTAAGATAAAATTAAAACCCAAGGTGTTGTAACACTTGAAAGTCGATCCATTCTTGAAAATTGATGCAACGTTTCATATACTCTAGCTCTGCTAGATCTCATGTGAGCTATTCCCTAATCCTAAGGAGGAGCAAAAACTCTATTGATTTAATCTGAACAGTTAATACAAAATAAACATTGGAGGAGTACAATACATTTTCCATTGAGAGTCTATTATAAAATAAAACTACAAAAATCAGAGTTTTAAATGAACTGCATGTCTAGTATATCTAATATACAGAGTGTCCCAATAAACATGGGAATTGACCGACGAATTCAAAATTGTCTTTGTTAAGAGTAAGCATTGTGATACCTAATTTCAATGGTCAACATAAAGCTACATCTGCTAGAGTATATTTTAGGTAATCGTTAAAGATTGTTTTGTTATTCTGCAAGATAAACAGTGAAGTGGAACCATGCTGTGTTTGTTTACAGAAATTTTTTATTTTACTAAGTACGAATTACAGCTTTTCAAGTGGGCATCACCATACTAAATAAAAAGTCATCTACAAAGCTTATAGACCATTTCAAAATTATCACTGAATTCCCATGTTTATTGGTACACCCTGTTCCAAATTATTTCTTATAAATATTATAAAAGTTGATACATATGTCTAACATGTCGATCACTAAACTTACGTTAGCTTGATTGGCATAAATTCTCCACAGGTGTGATCAAATCTTACAACATTCTTACTGGCCTGAGACAAATAATAAGATAATATTATTATTCAAATCTATATAAATTAGGCTCTCAAAGCGCTTCACGCCCATCATCTATTTCAATTGTTAAAATTTTTCTTTGTGTACAATGTACATTGAAAAACAAAAGCAAACAAAAAATTCGCGGATTTTATACAAAATTTTTGTAGATTTTTTAAAATTTAATGAAAAACGAATTTTGTTGGATCCTAATTTTTGAAATTTTAATGATTCAAGAAAGGTTTATGGATGCTCAAATATTTGTGTCCATTAGATTTTGATTCTTTTTGTAAAATTTTAAGACTATGCGACGAATTTGATTAAATCCGATTTGTTGTTGTTGTTTATATTGTACAAATATCATTGTAAGCAACAAACAATATTTACAACACGTCATTAGCAAAATTTCAATTTCTCAAAATGCTAATGCGATACGTTTCAAACATTTGTAAGTACTGAACTAATCGATTTCAATTTTACGTAATTTCGCGTAATAACGCATTAACTACGCGAAACCAGACTTTCTCTTGCTTTTATTCACGAAAGTAACGCATCATTTCGCGTAACGTTCATGCGTATGTGAACAGGGGCGGACATAAGTCGTCTTTACACAAGTGCAGACTAATCAATAGGGAATGTATTTTTTTTTTTTAAGGGAAGGGTTCAAGGCAACTGGAACTGTTACTTGTAGAGACAGCAAATGGAGTAACCCCTGCTTATCAGGGCCTGAATATATGTTCAGGGGTAATTACCCCTCGAATTCTAGGGAGGGGTATTTACCCCCAGGATTCTAAGGGGGGGTGGGGGCCAGGATTCTAGGGGGGGGGGGTAAATAACCCCAATATCCCCCCTTATGGCCGCCACTGTATGTGAAAGAAACATTTTTGCATAATTACGCGCAATTTCGCTTAATGTTACGACTGGAAACATTCTTTAGCATTTACGCGTGCAAAGGTGGACATGGTTCTATTTCTGTTTATGGGTCTATGGATAACAGTGTTCTCCATAGAGAACAGTTTCTCTAATATCTAATTTAGACACATTTAGAAATAAAATTAGGTGCGATAAATAATTTCTATCTATGGTTCAATTTCCTTTTTCCCCACGACTTTAAAGATTTACCTGCGGATCTTTGGAGCAAAGCGAAATAACAACATCCTCGTCATCTTCCTAGAGAAACAATCAAATTATAATCAAGCAACTAAACCCTTGAAACCCAATGCAGGATTCTGCAGGGTGTCCCACATCACATCATTTCATATTTTTGCTATCTTAAAATTGCTATTTTCGGCCTTGTAAAAAAGTTTAAGTTTTAATGAATCATTAAAAAAAATTGTACAGGGTAATATAAAAATTTGCATGCAGAAAATACTAGGTGTTTTGAGCATATGTATGTGTGTATTTTGGCTTTAAAGCTTGCAGATAATCCAAAATGATATGGGACGCTGCTGGGCACATTCCAACTTTTTCTAGCCGTTTTGTTAACGATTAGTTCTAACTGTTCAAAAATAAAAATTTCATTTAGCCATTAAAAACGAAGCGTTCGTTCCGTTAACGGTATTTTCCGTTTTTTAAAATTATCATTAGTTAAATTCTATTAACTGCGTAAACGGAAAAAATCCAAAAACCGTTAACGGTATAATACATTATTAATGGTTTCAGAAATTGTTAACGGCAATTCGTTAACTGTTTGAGAAATCGTTAACAGCACAGCCATTAACGGTATATCACAGTATGAACGATTTAAAAAATCATCAGTATAGCCGTTAACGGTTTATTACAGTATTAACGGTTCCTAAAATCGTTAACGGTCTTTTGTACTATTAACGGCGTAAAACTTTCACAAAAATTCGAGGTTTTACAAATAAGTTTTTTTTTCTGAAAAATTTTGTCAACAAGTAAAATCTAGTTTTATATTAAACATGGATCTTGATAAGTCTTGATAAGTTTTTCTGTTTAGACCCTTTCTGTTTGTTTCGTGGTATCCACGTGGAAAAGTTCCTGGTTCAGATTTAGATGTAGATTCAGAAAGTGTTTGTTTTTGGAGAAATTAAGATCAACTCTTTCTGTTTCTCACTTGGCTTTACTGTACATTTTCAAACTCGTACTGTTCACAATATTGTATTGTATGCTTGTTAGTATGTTAGTTGATATCCTGCAGTGGTCATACCCTACAGGGATAATTTTAACTAAGTATTTGTACTCTAATTTAAGAGTGCCCACGTATATATCGAGATCAAGTGTTCAAAGATTAACAATATAAATCCGTGCATTACAGTAATTAGAAAATTGATAAATTTGATATCTAATTTTTCGATATGATTAATAAAAAATATAATGATAACAATCAACCATAGATTAATCAAAATAACAGATAGGACACTTTTCAAGATTTATGTGTTTTTCGTTCAGTGTTGTTGTGATCTTTAAAAGACGACAACTAGTGTCCATGTCTGTTATTTTAATTAATCTATGAATAAAACTAAATAATCTAACCTCGTCATAAACTGAGTCTCTCTTTTTTCCAAGTTTCGTTGGTCGGATCATTGTTTGAGTTTTAATCCATGAATGCAAGGAGGAGATTCCTTCCAGGATACCATGCGCTTCATCCCCACCACTTCCGGCCCTAGATCATATTTAGGTTATATTTCCAGGATACCATGCGCTTCATATCTACCACTTCCGGCCCTAGATCATATTTAGGTTATATTTCCAGGATACCATGCGCTTCATCCTCACCACTTCCGGCCCTAGATCATATTTAGGTTATATCTAAGATACCATGCGCTTCATCCCCACCACTTCCGGCCCTAGATCATATTTAGGTTATATTTCCAGCATTCCATGCGCTTCATATCTACCACTTCCGGTCCTAGATCATATTTAGGTTATATTTCTAGGATACCATGCGCTCCATCTCCACCACTTCCGGTCCTAGATCATATTTAGGTTATATTTCCAGGATACCATGCTCCTCATTTCCACCACTTCCGGTCCTAGATCAAATTTAGGTTATATTTCAAGGGTTTCCAAGGTAGTACATAATAAAAAAATAGAAGCCAAAATATGAACATCTTAAATTTTTATAAGTAAAATTTTTACGTTAAAATTAAAGGAACCTTTAATTCTAATTTGCTATTTACTAATTTTATTCAAAATCAAGGTAACATTATCAGGGGTTTCTTTGATAAATAATAAAATAGCATGACAAGGAAATATGATGACAAGTTATTACAAGCAAGTTGACCTGCTAAGCAAAGACGGAGCCAAACTTTTCTTCCTTACCATTTCCTAGATAAAATATAAATTTTATAAGAAAATCATATTAAAAACAAAAAATTAATTTAGTAAAACATGCAACAAAAAGAATATATTTTAACTTATCAAGCGATGTTTAAATATTTTATATTTTATTTGGCGACAGACATAATTAACTTATAATAGAATGAGACACCACGAGGTAATTAAAAAAATCTCAATTTAGTCTTAAAATATCATAAATAACCCTTTTACCAGGTACATATGCAGTTTTATATCCTAAAGGGCCCAAATCAATAATGTTTTAAATATTAAAAATAAACCAATTTTCTCTTTAACCATTGATTTACCATTTACTCAGGCACAAAAACGCATACAAACATACATGGATAATAGAAAAGTCACCGGGGTACCGTATAAAGCTTATCTATTGTTTATTATTTGTTATTTCCATGCCTCAAATAAGAGTTTATAACTATAGGTTCATGCTCACAAATTACATCTAGGATTTGTTTAGGCATTCTATATACAAGTTCGCATTGCAGCAATATATATATATCATACATCATAAAACAATTTACCTTTTTAATTTGTCTTTGTCCTGAAGCGACGTAATCTTTTGTAACTAAATAGTTTAACACAATTTTTTTCAAAATTCTTATTGTTGGTTAACTTGTTTTGTGCTTAGTAAAAACCTTCTCAATAAACTGTTTCATCTCTGTCCTAACCACTGCTCTATTATCCTCATTTTTATCCAGAGCCACCCACCGATCAACTGCCTAATTATGGTATAAAATATTTAAAAACGTGTTTATTTCCAAATTCTTCAAATTATTATTTAAGTTTATTTCAAAACAACTGAGTTTTTTCAAACATTTTTTGTTTAAATGAAACTGATTTGTAATCTTAATTTTATTATTGTATTTCTTGAATTTAAAAACCTGAGATCCTCGTAGGAAGTCCCAGATGACGCCATTACTCTGTTAACAAAAAATAAATATTGGTCAGATTTGTATTGATATGCACCGTGGGCTAGGGTCAATTTGAATTCGAACCAGCCCAACCCCTTGAACTAGCCTTAGTAACACGCAGCATTTACCGGCCCGACATTTCCCGGTTTCAACTTTTATGGCATCACCAGGCTTTTCAAAGTACCTGGCCTGAGGACGACCGTGTCGATCAACCAAGTTGGACCAGCTAGCCCTGTCTACAAAGCTAGGCTAACTATATAAGGATGTCTAGACGGGACAGTCCAAATTAGGACGGCAAAGGTTGGCCCAGCTCGGATTCAAATTTACACCGGTTGTGCGTGGTTACTCTACAGCCATATTAGCTAAGTTTTGAGGTTTTTTTCCAAACATTCAAGACATAGATTAATTAAAATAACAGATAGGACACTGCGCGAAACTCCTCTGGGCTTTTGCCTCAGGATTAATGTAAACAAGCTTCATCCAAATCTTGAAAAGACGACGCCTTTCTTGTTTTATATTTATTTGCCCTCCACCTGTCTTCTGTCCGCTACCCCAGCTTGAGATTTCCTTCGTTTGGTTTTCCATAAAAATCCTGAGAATTTTTAACAATAAATTAAGAATACAATACTTCCATATACATAATTGAAGATTTTAGCATAGAATAGATTAAATTATGGGGGGGGGGAGGTTGGAATGTTTTTTTTTTTAATAGAATAGTTGCTGTGATTTCAAACGACCCGGAATTATTTTTTTTAATATTCTTTTCTTAAAATCTTTTTCTAAATAAAAACAAACACGGAGGAAACTATCGTCGGGATTCTTCCTTAAAAGAGAAAAATTCAATCCTAGTCTCTACGGCAATAATCTTTAATTAGATGTTCACTTAGAGTTATATGACCAGTCCCTTTAAGTTTTATTTACCTGCTGCTTCAGTGACAGTAATTTTAGTAATATCTTTCTTAACAAGAGCTGTAGGCAACTCTTTACCTTTAGCAGCCAACTCCTAGTTTTTATAATTAAGCAAAATTGTTTTAATTTTCAGAAAATTATGTAATTTTAATTGACCCTCTACCCACAGAGTCGTATGCCAGAATAACAATGTGTCTTTTTAAATAGTTTTCTAAACAGCAATGTGGAAGATATTATAGCAAGGAAACCGAATTTCTTTTTTAGACCCAAAATTCAAAAAATACATTTTCAGTTGGAAAATCTAGGATCTCTCATTCAGCTTTGATCCAACAATTAGGTCTATAGAATCGAGCACGCCGCCATTTTAAAATAAAAGGTAACTTGAAATTAAGTGAACTATATCTTTCAGGAATTTTACCTGTCGACAGAGTTTAAGAAATTTTCCCGCTGCCACACTTGGCATAAAACTGACTTGAACTGGAGCAACCGGAGCAGCAGTATCAGCAGCAGCATCAGCAGCATCAGCAGCCGGAGCAGGTGCATCTTCATTGCTAGTTGATGTACTAATTTATCAAATATATACCATCTTTTGATAAATTTGATCTATTTTGAAATTTTGTTTTTATTTTTGGATTTATTTTAAGTGATAACAAGAAAACTCTGAAATAGTAAGACAACTTTTTAGAATCAAGTTGTAATTTAATAAGTTCAATGAGCATGATACACAGCAAATGTGCAGTGTAAACAGATCCATTTCACTTTACAGTAACACTGTTTGCTTTGTAAGAGCATCAACTACACTTAAGTATTGCTAAAATTGTGTCTTATTATTCCATAGTTTTCTGGTTAACACTGTAGTTCTCACCTTTCCTTTGGTTTTCCATCCTAAACAAAATATTACTCAGTACAGGGTGTATGAAAAATATTACTCAGGGTGCATGAAAAATATTACTCAGTACAGGGTGCATGAAAAATATTACTCAGTACAGGGTGTATGAAAAATATTACTCTGTACAGGGTGTATGAAAAATATTACTCAGTACAGGGCGTATGAAAAATATTACTCAGTACAGGGCGTATGAAAAATATTACTCAGTACATGGCGTATGAAAAATATTACTCAGTAAAGGGTGTATGAAAAATATTACTCAGTACAGGGTGTATGAAAAATATTACTCAGTACAGGGTGTATGAAAAATATTACTCTGTACAGGGTGTAGGAAAAATATTACTCAGTACAGGGCGTATGAAAAATATTTGCAAGTTTGTTTGCAGTATAAAAGTTGTTTGTTATCAGTACTAAGAACCCTTTAGGGTGAAGAAAAAGTACCAGTACTTTGATTTGCACTAAGATAAAATCAACATACTTAGAACGTGGCGAAGTTTTCCAAAAAATAGTTTGTTGTTGCTTGAAAAATTGAAGACGAAATAGGAAATATTAGAATTTATGATTTCTATTAAATTTAGATATTTTTTTAGATTGTTTGTTAAGAGTTGAAGAAATTTGGATATTGGATTCTAGAAATATGTAGGGTTGTGGCTTGGGCTCCTCAGAGTTAGATCATCTAAAATCATCACAGGCTTTTAATTGCGCAGGGACTGAATTTGATGAATTTGACTAGGTAACTGAACTACTTACTGCCGGATCAAATTTGAACCATCGACTTGTAGTTAAAGATTAAGGAAAGATTTTAATCGGCAATTAAAAGTTGAACCCGCGGTAGGCAGTTCAAATTCATAAAATGCGGTCCCAGCCGTATTATTGATATTAACTTAGTGAGAGGAACTAAACACTTGCCTCAAACTCAATTCTTTAAGGTCTATCTCTCAAATGGTTTGTAAAATTTAGATATTTTCAAAATTAAATCAATCATTTATAGTTTAATTTGTCAAAGATCAAAGATTACATAAAGCTCTAAAAATATGTATTTTTGTGACAAACATTTTGAAGATTTTACAGAATTGAATACAAAATTTATACATACATTTTTATTTTTATTTTAATCTTGAATAAACACATTATTGAGATTTTCAGTAATACCATGACGTACGCTACCACACGATACTTTTAGGCCATAAAAAACCTTCTTATATAGTTTAGAGTAGCGTTTCCAATTCTCCGCTGTTCCCAAGAAACTTTATTTGATCAACAATGAGAAAGATATACTTCAGCTTTAATGAAAAGAGATAAAATCTGTTTATTTCGTTCCATGTATCTGCTGCATGAATCCAGTTTTCACAAAATTTTCAGAAAGAAATACAAGATTTTTTTTGATTGAATTGAGTCGATTATGTAACTCTTCATAAAAAGGCCAGAGTCCGAATTTAATGAATTTGAGCTGCATCTCAAATCCCCCAAAGACCGGTTTCAATATAGCGCCAGCTTAGATTTTGAAACATTGAATACAATTTTAAGTGGAACCAACCACTTAAATTCAAGACGCCGCGCGGTTCAAATTCCTTAAATTCAACCTCAGCTTGACTTCCAAGCCAATGCAATTCGTACCTTGTTTAATGACTTCAAAGTGCTAAGCGTCGTTGCCTTTCCAAAAGGCTTAAGTTTAGGTGTCTCTTGTAAGGTTGGTAGTGTAGCCCTGTCCAGTGTATACATTTATCATTTAAGTCAAATTTCAAAAGGTTTTAAAAAACTGTGAATATATATATAGGATTGAATTCAACTTTCTCAGATTTATTTTCGGAATTGAAGAATTTAAATCAATTGTTTTATCAAAATATATTTCCTTTTCATGGCAGATTCCTGAAATAAAAAAGTTTTATTTTTTCATAAATCTGAGCTTTTATTTTGCCCTATAATGAATGCTATGAAAACATTGATTATTTTTCATGAGAAAAACAGCTTATTTTTGTTATTACAGAAATAAATGATATTTTTAGTTTAAACTCAAATTAACATAATTAATTTTGAGCAATAGATAATTTATCCAAACCTTTGGTACATAATATTTATAGATAGATAGTAGATATTGAGATCAGTGCATTATTTCTATCTTTTGATAAAATGCAGATTAATTTAAAAGTTAATCCTCAATTTAAAAGTGAACACTATGGATATCGGGATCTGTGGATCGGGATTATAAGTTTCCATCACAAAAGTTCCCAGGCATATCTACAGATTAATTCAATTCCTCTTCAATATCCCATGATGGTCAATGTCCACAAAAAATTATGATCTCTAAACGAAGAACAATTTCTTAGGCTTATCTTATTTATGAGTCAACATGTGTGTAATTTAATTAAACAACACTGCATTCTCTGTTGGAGGATTTTTCCCTTCTTTCTTCACAAATTTTTTTTTTACCTTTTTCATTTTGGACATCAATTCTTTTAGAGAGTTACTGGTGCCCAGAAGCTCTTTCCTAGGCTGCGCTTCCTGTATCATATTTCAGCATTGTTAATACAGGGTTACCCACAAAGGATGAGACTGTAAAGACGACCTAAAACTCTGTAAATATGACGATCCCCAGGTTTCATTAAGTCTTCTACTTTGAATATCTTTTTTAATCTTATTTTATGATTTAGCAAAGAAAGAAATAAGTTGGAGGGAATCCATAAATATGGTTGGGTTCACATTATATCAAAGATTTAAAAGATTAAAACCTTATTTTCTTCTTTCTCTTCTTCTTCCTTGATCACATTCTTAAAATATCAAATTTTAAAAGCTTTGCAAAGATAATATTAAAATATTACATGTTTATTTTCAAATAATTCTTGTTTCTAAGTTACCAATGAGTTTTAAAGAGGTTTTAGTTACTATATAAGTTAATTTTAGGAAGCTAAATGATATTAATTTGTAAAATTTAAAATAAAATTCGCCAGTGTGAGTATTGCTGTAAGTTTTAAAAAATCTTTAACAAAACTTTTTTTAATAACTCGCAAGTTAAAAAAAAGTTGGGATTCAACAAAAATTGTTTATTCCCAAAGCCCAAACCCAACTTTAAAAAAATTTAAATTATGAAAAATGTCAAGTTTTTGCTTTAAAAAAATATTGACCTTGGATATTTGTCCTTCTTTCATTTCTTGCTCAGTCACTAACTCAAGGGTTGCTTCCTAGATTCATTTCTTTATTTAGAAATATCGGACAAACTGTTAAAATTATATAACATTTTAATAGACATGAATTAATCCTTGATATTACAGGAAGTTACAATAAACACGGGAATTAAGAGACGACTTGAAAATCGTCTTCGCTCTCCGATAGTTGTTCAATGACAAAGAGTGTATCAAAATAAAAATTTTAAGTCATAAAAGCTTTTAAAAATGTAGTCTACCTTCTTTGTATTTTCAAAATTGACGGAGATTGAACGATTTTTGTTGTTATATAATAAATTGGTATCTGACAGACGTCTTAATATCTCCGGCAGTTTGAAGGTCCAAAAATGGTAGACCACAATTTGGAATTCCCAAGACTTGGATATTAATGCAATTTTGTACACGTAAAAATGTTGCGCGTAACTTAAAGATGATGTACAAAAGTCGTTACTTAATTCCCATGTTTATTGGGACACCCTGTACGATAATTATGCAAATTGAATTCTTTATTTACCTTTTTAATAATAGCGCTTAGGTTTTTTTTCTTATTTTGCTCCTCCTGCTTTCAAAGAAGTAACATATTTTGAAATATCATAAAAATAGTTTTACTAATTTTATTGTAAATATATATTTTTATTAATATACAAACTGTTTTTTAAGCTAAATAAAGCTAAAGCCATGCGAAGCAGAATTTATCAGTAAGCTAAATATTTCTTTAACAACTAATTTCTAACAAATTGTATTTCTACAGATATGTACTTCTGTCTTTGTTTTGATTAATAATGCTAAAGGAATTGAGTTCTTGCAACAAACTCAAATTTACTAATCGCTTTTTTTCTTGTTTGCTACGACCCCAAATACTTGATTGATGATTGAAAAAATCTATTTATATAACTAGATTATCAAAAATCTGTCGTAATTTAAAAATTAATTTTTTTTTTTTTTCAATCTTTACGTCTCCAGGGGAAAAATATATGAACGGAAAAAGTAATTATAAATTGAAATCATTATACATCATGAAACACAAGGAATATGCACTTTAAGAAAATTATTTTGACAAAACCAGTCACCTCCCCCTCTCATGACACCCTAAACTACCCTGCTGTGCCCCCCCTCCTCCCACCAGACGCATATAATTAATCCTGACTCCCCTAGAATACCGTATACCCAGGGTAATTAGCATGTAATCAGCAGGTAATTAATTCTCTTAGGTCGACTATTAATGTTAAATGAAAGTAGTGATACAGTCTAAAAGTATATTTATAAACATAAATAGGACTGTAAGCGTAATTTCAAGTGAAACCTCCATGAAAAGATGTCAATGCAAGATTTACAAGCTTTTGCTGATCAAGTATGAATTGAAATTATTTGAAATTACCCTTAGTCTCTTTAATGATTGTTCATTTTGTTACAATATTACAAAAGATAATTTTCATAATGAGCTCCAGTAATGAATATGAAGACAAGATATGCTCTTATTGTCAATGTGTTGTCTATATTGTCTATTCAGTAATGAATATGAAGACAAGATATGCTCTTATAGTTAATGTGTTGTCTATATTGTCTATTCAGTAATGAATATGAAGACAAGATATGCTCTAATTGTCAATGTGTTGTCTATATTGTCTATTCAGTAATGAATATGAAGACAATGTGTTGTCTATATTGTCTATTAAAACTACGCTACAAGATTTAAAGCGAATTCCTTGTTGTAGTTATCTCTGTACTAAACCTGAAGTTCCTCTTTAGACAAAACTTTTTTTGATTTCTTTAAGTTTTTCTCAGGTTGCTTGAAATAATATCTTGTTAATATGAAGATATATCAAAGCAGAAAATATACATATATACACTGTACAGTCATGCTTTATTTTTATAGAAAATATCTAAGCTTTTGTAAATAAAAAAAAATCAATATATTGTATTGTATACCCACATTGGTCACAGCTGCTTTAGCAAGAAGTAACTTTGGAGGCATTCTTCTCAAATATTTTTCTAAAACAATAATACTTTTTTTTCACTATATGACAAAATGAAATAACACTAAATATGTTCAAAGGGAGTGTTCGCGAAAAATGAAAGGGGGAATAGACTTAATGCGATAAAAAACGCTTTTGATCGCTACTAATCTTACTTCTATCTGTTGTGTCTATAAGGAGAAAATTGTTAAAAACGACTTTTACCGAAAAACGTAGAGTCCTTACATATTCAGAAAGTTGCAACATACGACTCGGATCGTAAAAAAATCAATTTAATTTTTTAAAAATCATACAGATATTACAACCTATAGTCATCGATTATTTTTCGACGCATTTGTACATAGTTGATATTTCATAATATTTTTAAATTTTCGAAACAGGAAGAAATACTTTTAAAAGTAACTCTTAGATCATACAAAATAAAAGATATTATGAAATATCAACTATATATGAATGCGTCGAAAAATTATCTATGACTAAAGGTTGTAATATCTGAATGGTTTGTTTGGAATTAAATTAATGTTTTAGTTTTACGATCCGAGTCGTATGTTTCAATTTTCAAATATTAATGATAAACTAGAACTGCAGCAGAGTAATCCCCCAAATATCAATGATAAACTAGAATTGTATCAGGTTGATATACCAAATATCAATGATAAACTAGATCTGACTGTATTAGGGTGATATACCAAATATCAATGATAAACTAGAACTGACTGTATCAGGGTGATCTAACAAATATCAATGATAAACTACAACTTGTTGTAGCAGAGTAATCTACCAAATATCAATGATGAACTAGAACTGGTTGAAGCAGGGTGATATACCAAATATCAATGATAAACTAGAACTGGTTGAAGCAGGGTGATATACCAAATATCACTGATAAACTAGAACTGGTTTTAATCAATACTTGTCCCTCAATTCTATAAAACATTCCGGGGTTTTACAGTCATTTGAAATTAAAGAGGGAAGGGGGGTAAGTATAGTTCTTTTCATTAGTGATAATGATTACACCAGATAAATTTGGCCCCTCCTTCCCCCTAACTCCCCCAACATATTGTTTAGAGGGACTTTTGCGCCCCTGAAGCTGTGAATCTATTGCATGCCTGAGACTGAAGTTGATCCTGTTTATAAACAATAAGAAAGTGTAAACTTCAACCAGGGAATACAGGGATACTAACTATACTTTACCCTGCAGTTAAACCGCTGTAATAGATACATTTATAATTATACCTTTCTTAATCATTTTCTAAAGCCCCCTCGCTCTCCAACCTCAAATTTGACGGGGTAGGGGGGGGAGGGATATAAAGTTTAGAGGGGCAAAGATATTTTCACAAAAAAAGTTATACATATCCCTCAAAAGAGAGGGGATGGCAATGTGATCGAAAATAATACAGGGCTAAAAACGTAGAAAAATGTACAAAATATATATTACAAAATAATAACATTCTCAATCCCAGATCTCTAATTTTTATCGTTGGAGAAAACTGCCGAGTTTCCTTTTTGGGGTCTTAAGATTTGTGTAGATTTTGATTTAAGAGATTAGACAAAAATGAGAATATATACAAACTGAATAAAATAA